AAATTAACCTTCCTGGATTTGCTCAATATAGTGAACAATCACAAATTGTATGGGTTGCACCAGAGGGAAAAAAAACTAGTGTTATACATGACTAAACTTGACATGCACTATTACAAATGGGTCATCACTGGCCTGCCTGCGAGTATAAACGTCTGTTTAAGTGTAATTCAACTGTGTGCATAGACTACACTGTATTTTTTCATCAGATTTTAAATATTTTTATAGTTCAGTATTGTACACCACTCATGGTGCCTCCCCAAGGAAGATGAGCCTTTTCAAAATTTGATAAAAGAAATGGCAGTATTTCCAAATCCTAGAATGCAGTTCCAGATACCTATAAAGCGAGCACATTTTAGTAAAGGTTCATGTTTACAGAAGAAATGGAAATTCACATAACTAGCATATCTGTAAAGATGGGGCACGTGTTTTACACACTGGCTGATTATAGAAAAAAGGAAAAGGGGGGAGGGAGGAAGTCTGGCTAGCGCAGTGGTTCTCAACCTTTGCAGCGTGAAGATGTGTGGACTTCAACTCCCAGAATTCCTCAGCCACCATGCTGGCTAGGGAACACTGGGAGTTGTAGTCCACCCATCAAACATGCTGGGGGGGGCGCTGGGAGCTGTAGTCCACTCATCTTCAAACATGCTGGGAGACGCTGGGAGTTGTAGTCCATCCATTAAACATGCTGGGGGATGCTGGGAGCTGTAGTCCACCCACCTTCAAGCATGCTGGCTAGGTAACACTGTGAGTTGTAGTCCACCCACATTTTTTTTAAAATTTGATTTATATGCCGCCCTTCTCCAGAGACTCAGGGCGGCTTACAATGCGTTAAGCAATAGCCTTCATCCTTTTGTATATTTATACAAAGTCAGCTTATTGCCCCCACAAACTGGGTCCTCAATTTACCTACCTTAGAAAGGATGGAAGGCTGAGTCAACCTTGAGCCTGGTGAGATTCGAACTTACAGTAATTGCAGACAGCTGGTGTTAATCACAATGCTATCAGTCTGCTGAGCCACCAGGCCCTTGAAGCATGCTGGCTGGGAGATGTTGGGAGTTGTAGTGCACCCATCTTCAAGCATGCTGGAGGACGCTGGGAGTTGTAATGCACCCATCAAACATGCTGGGGGGCACTGGGAGCTGTAGTCCACCCATCTTCAAGCATGCTGGGGGACGGTGGGAACTGTAGTCCACCCATCATTAAGTATGCTGGGAGATGGTGGGAGTTGTAGTCCACCCATCTTCAAACATGTGGGGGACGCTGGGAGTTGTAGTCCACCTATCTTCAAGCATGCTGGCTGGGGAATGCTTCGAGTTGAATTCCAGGCGCCTTAAAAGCAGCCAAGGTTGAGAAACACTGGGCTCGTGTTATCTGATTTATAGGATGCATGAAAAACAAACAGGAAAGGCCTTCCAATTCACTTTTTTTAGCCCGCATCGAAGTTCCAAATCCGCCCTCAGCTGTTCTCCCCCCCAAAAAATGAAGGAAAATAAAGGAAAACGCGACAAAGGAGGATCGGCGCTTGCCATGCGCGACCACTACGCTTACCGACCGTCGTAGATTAGAACGAGAAAGGGGATCAGGGCCTCCCACCCCACGTTTACCGCCTCAGAGCGCGACCACCGCCCTACTTGCCTGAATTGCCGGCCCCGGCCTGGCCGCCCTCGTCCTGCTGGAGAAGGTGGAGGTGCTGGGGCGGCGGCTGCGGCTCGAGGCCCATCGGCTGCTGGGGCGGCGGGGGCGAAGGGAAGCGGTACTGGCCGTACTGGGCCGGCTGAGGCTGCTGGGCCTGAGGGGGCGGCGGAGGCGGCGGCTGAGGCTGCTGCGGGGGCGGTTGGGGCTGCTGAGGCGGCGGCGGCGGAGGAGGAGGAGGCGGCGGCGGCGGCAACGCGGCGAAGGGAAACCCGGCGGCCGCCATGAGGCTCGGGATGGCCGGCTGAGGCTGGGCCTGCGCGGGGCCTGGAGGCGGCGGCGGAGGCGGCGGGCCTTGCATCACTAATCCGGGAGGAGGAAGCGGATAGCCGGTCTTGCCCGGCGGCGGGGGCGGATGGAGTTTCCCCAGCGGCGTCGCGTTAGCCCCGGTCGCCATAGGCGGAGAGCCGAGACGGAGGGGCGCGATGGCGTCGGCGGTTTCGCGAACCTTCCACGCCACCGCTTTCCCTCACAAAGGCGGCCGGCGCCGATTGGTCCCCCCGCTAATCCCTCACGCCCCTGCTCGGACTCCTGTTGGCTGGGTGTTACGTCGCGCCCTAGGCGTCGTACGGCGATTGGAGGAGATTTGTCCCGCCGGGAAAAGATTGGCGCGGAGGAGCGATAGAGGCGGGTGGAAAATTCATTGGAGGGAATCTTTGTCACCGAGATGGGAAGCGCGGCTTCGCCGTTGCGCATTGGCTCCGGGTCTCGGAGGGCGGGATGATTTAGGAACGAAGGGAGGCTAGAGGGTGGGCGGGTCCAGGGACCTGAACACGGGAATCTGATTTGTCAAGCGCCAGAGCTTACGCCCTCGGGGACCTTTGCTTTCTTCTGGAGGACGCTTTGCTGCACACGGCCTTGCGAGAAATATGACGTTAGGCTTGCTCCTATTGGCCGGAGGATTAGAAAGGAGAGCGGGGTGTGTATATGTGTGGCAAGTGCAAGACCTTTGATTGGCTCGAATTCTAAGAGCTCAGGGTTGTGATTGGTGAGGCGTCAAGTCCTCCTGCCTCGCCCCTTTTGGCAACTGACGCGAAGAGGGCGACAGAATTTATGGTAGCAGCAAGGGATTCTGGGAAATGATGTCAAATGCCATGCTTAGTTAAAAAGCGAACTAACCCAGTTTCCTTGTCTGGGTGTGACACAAGATATCAAATTAAACATTGGCTGGCTAGTTTATAGCCCAGTCTCTTATCTGAATACCACTTCATTCTACCAATAAAGCTACTGGACCTCAACTTCCAGAATTCCCCACCCCAGCTGGGAGTTGAAGTGCAGCCATCTGCCAGTTAAAAAGCTTGACAAACCCTGCTATAGAATATAATATAACGTAATATAAACATACATGATTTTTCAAGTAGAATTTGGCTCCTAATAAATCCCAGCAGGTCTATGTATTTTTCCTGGCAAGTAGATTGTTTTGGCCTTTTTCCAAGATTTTTTTAAAAAAATTCCCTTTATAACCAGTTAGTCCTGCTGAGAAAGCTTGGTCTAAAACCCCTTTTGTAAAAATTAGAATCAGGAATATGGACTGGAATACAGAGTAGTCCCCCAATCCAGCCCTCAGCAAGTATAAAAGATAAGCACTAAGGTGTAACTGCACCTATTTGGAACAGGGATTGGCTTATTCCAGTGGTGAAATCCAAATTTTTTTACTACAGGTTCTGTGGGCGTGGCTTCGTGGGTGTGGCAGGGGAAGGATACTGCAAAATTCCCATTCCCTCCCCACTCCTAGGGGAAGGATATTGCAAAATCTCCATTCCCACGCCACTCTGGGGCCAGCCAGATGTGGTATTTGCCAGTCTCCAAATTACTCAAAATTTCCACTACCGGTTCTCCAGAACCTGTCAGAACCTGCTGGATTTCACCCCTGGCTTATTCTTTATACAGATGAAAAATAAAAAAAAGATGGGGAAGAACTTGCTCAGACTCAACCCCTCCAAGACCGAGTGGCTATGGCTTCCGGCGCCCCGATATAGTCAGCAGGTGCCATCACTAACTATTGGGGGTGAATCTCTGCCCCCCACAGAGAGGGCTCGCAATCTGGGTGTCCTTCTGGATGCACGGCTGTCTTTAGAAGAGCATATGACGGCCGTGGCCAGGGGGGCCTTTTATCAGGTTCGGCTGATTCACCAGTTGCAGCCCTTTCTGGATGGGGACGCCCTACGCACGGTCACTCATGCCCTTGTTACTTCCCGGTTGGACTATTGTAATGCTCTCTACATGGGGCTCCCCTTAAAGAGCACTCGGAGGCTCCAACTGGTCCAGAATGCGGCCGCGCGGGTGGTTATGGGCGCAACTCGTTGTGCCCATGTGACACCCCTCCTGCGCGAGCTGCACTGGCTCCCAGTGGTCTTCCGGGTGCGATTCAAGGTGTTAGTTACCATCTTTAAAGCACTCCATGGCATAGGACCCGGGTACCTCCGAGACCGTCTTCTGCCACCAATAGCCTCCCACCGACCAGTCCGTTCCCACAGGGAGGGTCTCCTCAGGGTGCCGTCAACCAAGTTATGTCGACTGGCGGCGCCCAGGGGGAGGGCCTTCTCTGTGGGAGCCCCATCCCTGTGGAACGAACTGCCCCCGGAAATTCGTAAGATCTCCGACCTCCGGGCGTTTTGCTGCGCACTGAAGACCCTATTATTCCGCCAGGCCGGACTAACAACACAATAGCTTTTAAATTGGGATATTTAAATTTATTGGGGTTTTAAATCTGAGCCACTTTATTTAATTATTTTAAATTTTATATTGTTGTTTTGTTTGTGTTTTTAAACAGGCTGTACACCGCCCTGAGTCCTTCGGGAGAAGGGCGGTATAGAAATAAAATTATTATTATTATTATTATTATCTAAATTATAGATTATCAAGTTATATGCCGTATCTTTGCATCAATTGGGTAAAGTTGCTGATGTTGTATACAAAAATGATTTAGATCCCAGATCTGTTGTGCTTTAGCCCCCGACTTCGATGCCCATCTTGTAAAAATTAAGGTTTTCAAGAGCAAAGTCAATGTGGAAGCCAAATTCACTTAACAACCGTGTTACTATAACAAGAACTGCAGTAATTCACTTAACAGCTGTGGCAAGGCCATCAAATGGGGCAAAAAACTCACTTAAGTGTCTCGCTTAGCAACAGAAAATTTGGGCTCAGTTGTGGTCGTAAGTCGTGGACTACCTGTATATATATCCAAAACAGAAGAAAATTCCTTGCATTTCCACGAGCAAATGATCCCAAATCTCCATCTGCAAGAATCCTCTACTTTTTATTTTAATTTTTTTAAAAACAAAAATCAAAGCCATTCCACCGGGGAGTAAAATATCACGATTTAATATCCTTCTCTATGTTAAATAGCTATATTTTCTTCTCTCTTTTGTTTTCAAGTTTCGATTTTCTCAGGACAACGACATTCCAGCTTTAGCAGTTATAAAACACAAGGAGAAAAAAGGAAAAATAAAAAAAGATGAGCAGCATTCTGGGAAGGAAAAGCCATAGCATCGGAGTTCGGGAGGATTGTGGTTACTACCTTAACAAGCCAAGATTGAGATTCTGACGTTTGAAGAGTTTGTTCTGGGCTTCGGGGGTTTGCAAAGAATAACCGTCACTTCCTAGTGACCTCAGATTCGATCAATGTTCCTCAACTTTGGCAGCTGTAAGATATGTGAACTTCAATTCCCAGAAATCCCTAGTCAGCCAGGCTGGCTGGCTACGGAATTCTGGGAGTTGAAGTCCACACATTTTTACAGCCACCACAATTGAGAAACATTGAAAGATGTTTTGTCATAGAAATATGTCAACCTGTTAGTTAAACGTAGCCTTTTAAAATCTCCATTTGGGCTGCCTAAAGATACCTCTCTCTCAATTTGGGCAATTAATTCCTGGCACCCTCACATCTCCAAATTGCTCCCCCTGGGGCCTTCAAATCTTGTCTTTCCATGAACCAGCCCCATCCACCCACAATCATCATCTTCGTTTAACGACCCCATAATTCCTTGCAGGGTGGAGTCTGGGCAATTGAATGGAGTTGAGTGTTTACTGGCCAGATGCCTTTCCTGTCACCAATGCGGAGTTTTGTTCAGCAGGTATACATTCTCATTGTGCCCAGAGAGAGAAAGATCGGCCTCTACCTAGGATTGAACTCACAGCCTCCCGATTGTGAGGCAAGAGCTCCACCTCTAGGCCACCGCACCACTCTCCCTACCCATCCACAATGCCCCCTGGTTATTCAAGCAGCTGGACCCATTTCATGGTCTGCAACTTGCACATCTATCTGGCTGGCTTTAGGGCCTGCACAACTGCAGACATCTGCACTTTTAACTGCTTCTTGGGGTAAGCAAAGAGAATGCTGCTTTTCGCCTTTGAAGCTGGAGGATGGGGAGAGGATGGGGAGGCCTCGCCGCTATCTGAAGGAGGGGCGAAAGGGTTTCTTTCTTCTCCTAATTTATCCTGAAAACCATCTTTCTCCACCGAGAAGCCGGTGGCTGCATAATTCTCCTGGAAAAAAATAGCTTCAGAAACCAGCAGGCAAAGGTTTTTTCTTAATGTATTTGGCACCTAGGGAAAAGATTCTCCAGGGGAAAAAATATATATTTTTCCTGTGTGCCACTTCCTCCCTGACGAGGAATCCTTCCCACAGCTGCTATTTTTTTTTTAAAGAAGTGGGATGACACATTCAAGCATGGGCTACATCTAATATTTTGGAGGTTTGTTTTCTTTTTTCTCTTTACAAACCAAGCATCACTTAACAGATGCATGCATTTAGTGTTTTGGTCCCAGATGTGAATAACTGATGATTGGGAACTGTGGTTTTATGGAAAGGTGGATCACAACTCTGACGTTTCGTAGAAGAGGAATGAGAAATCTCTCAACCTTGGGAGTAATTCTAAACTACGACGCCCAGCAATCCAAACAGAAACAAAACAGAACTGGGAATGCTGGGAATTTGCATTAGAGATAAATCCTCACTTAACAACCAGTCGTTTTAACAACCATTTGAAGTGACGACAGCCACAGAACGAGTTGTGGAACGTTTGAAGTTAAGACAGCCATCAAGCTGAAGTTACGATGGCCATGAATAAGTCACAAAACATCTCCGGTCGCGCTGCTCCTCCCTATATGACACGTTAGCTTTATATTAGCCACATGGCATTTCATTTGCAAGTGATTTGGTGGTTTTTTTTGCCAGTTTCTGGCATTTTTTTTATTTTTATTTTTGCTAATTTCTGGCAAAAATTACCCCTTCGAATGAATGATTGCAGTCAAACAGACCGGAAAATTATTTCTGGTCGTGTGGTTGTCTTAACCATACAATCAGAATGACTTGAGGCCATAATTCCCGGCTCAATTACAGTTGTGAGTCAAGAACTACAATACCCAGAAGGCCACACATTTTCAACCACGTGTTAATTCTGTACTTAAAACCCGCTAAACAACCAGTTTCCTCCCCCTGAGATTTTCCAGGTGGGTGGGACTAAAAGGCACCTGGCCACCAAGAATACAAGGAAAAGTTTCTCAGCACATCTGAGAAGATGTTTTGGAGCACGTCCAGATGTTTGGAGTTGCTTTTCCAGAATTCTGGATATAGTGGCTGGGGAATTCTGGGGGATTGAAATCCATACACCTGAAGAGTGACCTTCAACTCCCAGAATTCTCAGCAACGGTTATTGACGGTTAGGGAATTCTGGGAATTGAAGTCCGCATCTTTGGAAATGGTACACTCACCCACATCTGGGTTCTTAAAATTGAATTGTTCTCCCCTGCCGTCCATAACTCGAAATATGTGGGATCAATTCTTTTCTAGCAACGGCTTATCATCCTTTGGGAATTCTGGGAGTTGGCCTCTGCAGAACCATTGATCTGGTTTCCAAATCGGAATTGCTCACCTCGCATCTCCTTTAGCCATTCAAAATAGTCATTAAAAAGAAAAACAAAACAAAACCAGAAAACCACAATTACTCTTACCTCCCGACAGATAAACAACCGCACAGAGTCAAACGATCGCATTCATTCCTGTAACAGTCACCCTGTTTTGCTCGTCCTGGGCAGGACCCTACATTTCTCCAGTTGACTGGCCCCCAAATAAACAATTTCTCCCTCGTTCCCTATTCCGGAATAACAGCCCAGAACTTCAAAGTGCCCTGAAGACGTTAAAAGCTGAAGCTTAGGAAGGAAGCTGCCTTCTATACCCGTGGCAAACGATTGTCTTCACTCGGTCGGCCATGCCAAGACGCGGCGACCGCACGCCGTCACCGCGCACGACTCCTAAGCATTTTAAAAGAAGAGGAAAGAGGAGCTGGGAAGGGTGGGGAAAAAAAGGAAGAAGCATTCAAGCAGGCACAAGGTGTCAGCCGGGATCGGGTGCGAGTTTCTCCCGACTGACAAGCGGTTGAATTATTGCAGAATTATCTCAAGAAACACTGGCCCCCAAATATGGGGAGCCGTGCTCGCCAGGCACCAAGACGACCTCTGGAGGCCCAACCAGCAGTCAGTCCAGGATCCAGGGCCGTATGAGCCGTCCTCTGTCGACGCCCACCTGGAGCATCTCCTATGCCGACACATTGGCTGACATCGGCAACTGGCTCTAGGAAGGATCTGTTGCACACTCGCGTGCGTGCCAGAGTGGCTGTCGGGAGGAAATTAGTAGCTACTTTCATGACCCGTCAGGATGTAGAGGTTGCTGTGCGCCGTGGGATTGTCAGTTGGGGTACTCTCAAGGATGATGTCCCTGCAGAGAAAGGGGAGAAGTAAGATGGACGATAAGCAAGGAAAGCAGTTGTGAATCTAGGATTGTGTTTCTTAACCTTCCCAATTTTAAGATGGGTGGACTTCAACTCCCAGAATTCCCCAGCCAGCCTGCTTTAAGATATCTGAATCCTACAATTCCCTGGCCAGAATACCTGAATATAGGTGGACTTTTAACTCCACCTATAACCTCAGAACTTCAAATATTCTCAACCATGTCAACTTTAACATGGGTGGACGTCAGCTCACAGAATACCCCAGCCAGCATGCTTTAAGATGGAAGGACTTCGACTCCCAGAATTCCCTAGCCAACATGCTTTAAGATGGGTGGACTACGACTCCCAGAATTCCCCAGCCAGCATGCTTTAAGATACAAAGACTTCAGAATTCTCCAGTTAGCAATTCTGGGAGTTGAAGAAGTTCACCCATGCCTTAAAAGCATATTGCTGGGGAATTCTGGGGAGATAAAAATCCACATATCTTAAAATTGCTGAGGGTTAACAATGGTCCAAGAATCCTCCATTTATCTACGCTGTCTTCCTGATGTTACAAGAGGCTGCCAAGGAATTAGGAAAAAAGGCCCATGCTTCGTTCATGCCAAGTTGTGACTCCGAACGGGTCAAAAAGCAGACTTCCGGAATGTCAGAGAATTATACATAATGTGCAAAATGTTTTAGAAAGTGGGACATTTCAGATTTCAGACTGCGGTATCCCACTTCAGATGGATTTTTTTTCCACCCCGTACCAGAAGGATTCTGAATTCTCCGATGTCCGTCTTAAGTGGGGAACTGGGATTTTTGAGCTTGGAATGCTTCCGGAATAGCCGAGAGAACAACAGGGTGTTTCCTGCAATGGCCGGCATATTTCTAACTCGAATAACAAAATGGTTTTCTTTCCTTGAAAATGTGCAATAGGGATCCGTCGTGGGAATTGCGGCGTGGGGTGAGAGCAAAATTAAGAGGCCTCTATTGGCAGCTCACCTGTGAGCACCCAAGACTCGGAAAACCCTGGATTCGTCTGTGACCTCCTGAGTCACCTGTTGGGGAAGCAAAAAAATGTATTTATTAAATTTATGTATACCGCCCATTTTACCGTCAAGCAACTCTGGGAAGCTCACAGCATTGTAAAATCAAATATATTGTACCAATGTTAAAATATGAAACATTACCCGTCCAGAATCGCTTGGGAGTTGGGCGGCATAGAAATGCGACAAAATAAATAAATAAATAAATAAATAAATAAATAAATAAATAAATAAAAATAAATAAAATAAATAAATAAATAAATAAATAAATAAATAAATAAATAAATAAATAACAGACCAACAGAGTTGGAAGGGACCTTCTAGTCAGAGGTGGGATTCAGCCAGTTCGCACCGGTTCAGGTGAGCTGAACCGGTTGTTCCAAGGACTGGCTGACCTCGCCCACCCTGCCCCACCCCTCCCAGGAGTCTCCATGCGGCCTGTTTCGGATGCCAGGTAAGTGCAGTGCGCATGGAGGCTCTGGGAGGGTGAAAAACGGGCCTACTGGAGGTCCGGAAATGAGTCTGTTTCTGGCCTCCGGAGGGCCTCCGGTGCCTGGGGGAGGCAGTTTTCGCCCTTCTGGAGGCTCCAGGAAAGCCTCTGGAGCCTGGGGAGGGTGAAAAATGGGCCTACTGGAAGTACCGGAAGTCCAGAAATGGGCCTGTTTTTGTCCTCCTGGAGGCTCCAGGAAAGCCTCTGGAGCCTGGGGAGGGCGAAAAACGGGCCTACTGGAAGTCTGGAAACGGGCCCATTTCCGGCCTCCGGAGGGTGCGTGAAGCAAACCTGTTGTTACAACTGGTGAATCCCACCGCTACTTCTAGTCCAACTCTCAACCCTATACCATTCCAGACAACTGTTAAAAACCAACATACAAAGGGATGGAGTTGGGATCTTCAGCAAGCTCTCCAATTATATAATCCTTATTGATTCGTTCAATGCCCTGGGGTCTTCATCACACATGACTCGTGGGTCATTCACGCACGTATGTTGCAAGAATCAGCCTCTTAGTTGGAAGCTACAGCATGATTTGGTTGTCTCCAATTTTTTACTGTACTATTCAGGGGTGGGATTCAAAAATTTTTGCAACCGGTTCTCTGCCCAGGTTGCTGGGTGGGTGTGGCCATGGTAGGCGTGGCCTATTCAGCCTCCTCCACCACAGGGGGGGGGGGCTTTTCGCCCTCTCCAAGCTCGGGAGGTTTTCTTTGAGCCTCCGGGAGGGTGAAAACAACCTTCCCCGGGCTCTGGAGGCCGAAGGCCAGAAAAGGGCCCCTTTCCAGATTTCCAGAACTCCCGGGAGGCCTGTATTTCGCCCTCCCAGAGCCTCCGCGTGGGCCCTGCACTTACCTGGCATCCAAAACGGACCGCGTGGAGATTCCTGGGAGGGGTGGGGCCAGCCAGTCCTTGCAACTACCGGTTCGGTGAACCAAATGTAAAATCCGAACCGGCTGAATCCCACCCGGTACTATCATTTTATGGCAAAAGACTTCCTTTGTGCATTTTACTCACCTCACTAGATTCCAGGCTTCGGCCTTGCATGCCATGTTTCCAGAAAGCCAAGACACTGTCTTGAAGGCACACTGCGGGGAAGCAGAGAAGAGGCTTCATTAGAGGGCGCCTTGTTTGTGCTGGGAAGCCAAGCAGTCTTCGGATGGGAGACCACCAGGTATAGACCCAGCTGGAAAGTTTATATGATCTCCACGCTGAACTGCTTCCATACTACAGAATTGCCAAGGGAACTTAACATACCTCTAAAGCAGAGTTTCTCAACCTCAGCATCTTAAAGAGGGGTGGACATCAACTCCCAGAATTCCCCAGACAGCAGAGAATTCTGGGAGTTGAAGTCCACCCGCCTTCAACTTGCTAAGGTTGCTCTGAAGTCACACCAGGCAATGCTCTCACTTGAGAATTTGTTTCTATTCTTTTCAGCCGTCGGCAGAGAAAGTTAACCCAGAAAAAAATTCCAAGCAGGATAGTGTTTGGTTAGTAGTGTTAGGAAAGGATACCACAAGGAGATCACAGATGGGACGCCCAATTGGAAACTCAAAAACCTATCCCACAGAAAGGCAGGAGGAAACTTCTGCCTTGTCCTTGCCAAGAAGAAACCAAGTCAGCTAGGGAAAAAAAATCACTTCAACCAGATAACATGTTGATTCTGATCTACAGTGAGGTGTTTGCTTGTTTTCATTTCACTTGTGGCATTGAATTTTTTAAAAAAAATTAAATAAACCCAATTCCAGGTGAGGTCTTCGCTGAGATGGACTCCCAGATAGGAGAGGTCCTTGGTCCTCTCTGAGCTCAGTCGTGTTCTTGCAGACCTTGCACGACCAAATTAGGTAACATCATCAGTGCTAAAAGGGATTAGGGTTTTTGGAGAGCAGGATGCCGACAACGCGACATTAGGATCCTTGGTGCTCTCTGAACTCGGTTGTCTTCTTGCAGACATTTCACGACCCAATTAGGTAACATCATCAGTGCTAGAATGAGCAAAACCCCACTCCCTTCTAGCACTGATGATGTCACCTACTTGGGTTGTGAAATGTCTGCAACAAAATAACCAAGCTCAGAAAGCACCAAGTACCCCTTGTTGTGGTCCGCCAGCAGCCTGCGGAGCTGGCAGCGGAGTCGGACAGTGAGGAGGCTGGGGAGGAACATGGGCCAGTCCTGGAGTCTGGGGAAGACCCGGACAAGGGCTCTGCGTTGGAGGCAGAGATGGTGGCAGAGCCATCGGGGAGTGATACGCGGACTCCGGAACCTCCGGAGTTGGACAGCAGAGAGGCAGAGGAACAGGGGGAGCCTGTTCCTAGTGCCCACATGCGCAGAGCTGCCAGAAGGCAAGAGCAACTGAAGTAAACAGGACAACTCGGGAGTAAGGCCAGGAGATGATTGGCCCCTCCCATAAGGCTTAAAAGAGAAACAAAGGCACTTGGGCCTTTTGCAGGAAAGCAACGTTGCTAACTCTGTTTCCAGTCGGCATCTCTTGTTTGTTTCTGAATTCTGTGGGGCTTTGCCAAGTAAGACCTTTGGCAGGGTGTCAAAGTAGATAAAGGTTGGTGATTATCCCGAAGGACTTCTTCCGAAGGATTTGTTTTGCAACTAATTGGGACTCGGCTGGGAATGAACGTAATTCTCAACTGTTACAATAAAATAGGTTTCTTTGGGACTAATTGTGTCTTGCAGTGACTCAGTAAGCCTAGGTCACAACACCCCTATTATTTCAACCCTGAGCTACAAATATCCTTACATACCAATGGTTTCGATGGGGAAATTGAAAACGAGCTCGGGTGCAAACACTCCTTGCGGCGTCCCTCGCAGATTCACGACCCGGACGCAGCCTGGGTGAGAAGAGGAGGGGTTTTGAAGGACAAAGATACAATCCAAGAGTAGGAAGGGGGAAAAAATGGAGGCCAAGAAAACCTCCAAAAGAAAACATTCATATGACAAACAATTGAGGGACCTAGGTATATCTAGTCCAGGAGTCAGCAACCTGCGGCTCTGGAGCCGCCTGTGGCTCTTTCATCCCTCTGCTGCAGCTCCCTGTCACAACTGCCAGCACACAATTTATTGAGCTTTTCAACCCGGTAGGCCAACCATGGATAAATCCAAGAAAAGAAAAGTTTCAGGAGAAAACAGAACATTTAATTCAACTACGTATGTTAGTTTTGTGGCCGCTCAGGAAATAGTCAGGCATGGGAAGGGTTTTTGTGGCTCCTGGAGTTTTCTTTTCTGTGGGAAACGGGTCCAAATGGCTCTTTGAGTGTTTAAGATTGGTGGCCCCTGGTCTAGTCTATTGAAGAGAAGAATCGGGGGACATGATAACTGTAGTCCAACATGTGAGGGGCTGTCCCAGAGAAGATGAGGGGGTCGACTTATTCCCCAAAGTACCAGAGGGCAGGACAAGAAATAATGGGTGGAACATTATGGAAAGGGAGATCAACCTAGAATTAAGGAGGAATTTCCCGATTGTGAGAACAATTAATCAGTGGAACGGCTTCCCTCCAGAAGTTGTGAATGTTCCAATACTGGAAGTTTTTTAAGAAGATCTTGGATAACCATTGGACAGGGATGGCAAATGGTCTCCCACCTTGAGTAGGAGGCTGGACTAGAAGACCTCCGAGGTCCCCTCCCGTCCTAGGATTCTATGTTCTAAAAGAACTCACGTTCAAAACAAACAAGGACAGTATCTCGGTCCATCTGAGTGACGTGGCTGGCCAGGACGAGAGGACGTTCTACAAGAGAAGAGAAGCCAAACGCTGAGAAACAAACCTTGGTCAGCAAAAAAAAAAAAAAAAAAAAAAGCTGGTGTTTAAGTTGCTTTCTGGATGAATCAGTGGGAATTATGGGAGTTGAAGTCCACACGTTGGGAGGGTGGGGGTCTTCAAGGTGAGGATCGAACTCCTGGCAGTGGGCAGAGTTAGCCTGCAATACTGCATTTTAAACACTGGGAAGGAAGGAAGGAAGGAAGGAGGGAGGGAGGAAGGGAAGGAAGGAAGGAAGGAGGAGAGATAGGTTGTAAGGAAGGAGATAGGTTAGAAGGAAGGAAAGGGAAGGAAGGAAGAGAGGGAGGGAGGGAGGAAAGAAGGAAGCAAGGGAGGAAGTAGAGATAGGTTGGAAGGAAGGAGAGATAGGTTAGAAGGAAGGAAGGAAGGAAGAGGGAGGGAGGGAGGAAGGAAAGAAGGGAGGGAGGGAGGGAAGGAGGGAAGGAGGGAGGGAGGGAGGAAAAAGAGATAGATTAGAAGGAAGGAAGGAAAAAGAAGGAGGGAGGGAAGGGAGGGAGGGAGGACGAGAGGGAGGGAGGGAAGAAAGAAGGAAGCAAGGGAGGAAGGGAGGAAGGAAGTAGAGATAGATTGGAAGGAAGGAGAGATAGGTTAGAAGGAAGGAAAGGAAGAAAGGAAGGAAAAATGAGGATGGAGGGAAGGGAGGAAGGAAGAAAGGGAGGGAGGGAGGAAGATAGCAATAGCACTTAGATTTATATATCGCTTCACCATGCTTTCCAGCCCTCTCTAAGCGGTTTACAGAGTCAGCCTCTTGCCCTCAACAATCTGGCTCCTCATTTTACCGACCTCGGGACGGACGGAAGGCTGAGTCAACCTTGAGCCGGTCAGGATCGAACTGCAGAAGCAGCCTGCAGTACCGCATTCTAACCACTGCGCCACCACGGCTCTTAAAAACATTCAAGTCTTAAAACGCAGGAAAGAGATCTCCTCTTTTCTGACCCCCCCGATCCCCCCTCCCCAAAATACCCGCTCTTACTGGAAGGGCTGGAGGTGGTGTGGCCGGTGCTGAGCGAGAGGACGCTGAAATGCAGCTCGGCCCCCGGCTGATCGCTGCCGGTGACGCCGAAGCACACTTGCGGGTATTCCTCCGTCTCCACGACCAGCAGCTCGAACAGGGAGAGGGGATCGGGTAGCAGCACGGGGACGTGCTGGCGAGACGAGACAAGACAAAAATCAATCAATCAAGCCGAGAAAACGTTTGTGAGCCCCCAGCCAGAATCTGGCTGGGATCTAGAACTCAACGTTAGAGACCGTTCGCTTACCTTCAGTAGCATAAATTTCTGCAAAGGTTCGTACCACTGAAGGAGGGCCAGGCTGGACGGCAGGGCGGCACACAGAAAGGTGTTTCCTGAGTAAGGATTTCGGACTGAAATGGGGGGGGGAGGGGGAGACAATGGGATTAGCTGGTCTCCACTTTTGCTGCTAGATAGGTAGACTTCATCTCCCAGAATTCTGCATGGCGAATCCCAGATGGTCCTTCCTTCCTTCCTCCCCTTTTTCCTTCCTTTCTATCTCTCTCTTTTCCTTTCTTCCTTCCTTCCCTCCCTCTCCTCCCCCTCCCCTTTTCCCTTCCTCCCCACTTTCCGCCCTCCCCCTCCCCTTTTTCCTTCCTTCCTCCCCATTTTCCTCTCCTTCCCTCCCCTTTCTCCTTCCTTCCTTCCCCTTTCTCCTTCCTTTCTCCCTCCCTTCTCCTTCCTTCCCTCCCCTTTCTCCTTCCTTCCCTCCCTCCCCTTTCTCCTTCCTTCCTTCCCCTTTCTCCTTCCTTCCTCCCTTCCCATTTTCCTTCCTTCCTTCCCTCCCCTTTCTCCTTCCTTCCTTCCCCTTTCTCCTTCCTTCCTTCCTCCCTCCCCTTTCTCCTTCCTTCCCTCCCTCCCTCCCCTTTCTCCTTCCTTCCTTCCCCTTTCTCCTTCCTCCCTCCCTCCTCTTTTCTTTCCTTCCCTCCCCTTTCTCCTTCCTTCCTCCCTCCCCATTTTCCTTCCTTCCTTCCTTCCCTCCCCTTTTTCCTTCCTTCCTTTCCTCCCTTCCCTTTTTCTTCCTTCCTTCCCTCCCTCCCATTTTTCCTTCCTTCCTTCCCTCCCTCCCCCCCCCCTTTTTTTCCCTCCGTCCTTCCCCTTTCTCCTTCCTCCCTTCCTTTCCTTCCTTCCGCCCATTCCTCACAAAGGGACTAAAAAAAAACCTGAGCTAAGGAACTTTATGAGCCTACTGCAGCCTTAGAATTCAAAAATTAAAGAGCTGCTGAATTCCAATCCTTGCAGCTCCAGGAGAAATATCTGCATTATTATTTTTTTAAATACAAAAGAGATACTTTATCACATGTCACGGGCCTGTTCTCAAAGATAAATCAGGCTCAAGCCCTCGGGATTTTGAATGAAAAAGGTAATTTAAACAGGCACTAACGAACCTGCTATATTCCAAGTCACGTCTTGGTCCCCCCACCCCATAATGCAGGGTTTTCCAATCTTGGCAACCTTAAGACTTCAACTCCCAGAATTCCTCAGCCAGCCATCTTAGCTGGGGGAATTCTGGGAGTCGTAGTTCGCACTTTTGAAAGGTCACCATCCCAGAATTCTCAGCAAGGGCCATGCTGAATGGGGAATTCTGGGAGTTGCACAGAACCACTCTGAAAGTGGGGGGGAACATATGGTAAGAATTCAGAGGCTAATTCAAGAAATGTGGAAAATCTGCTGATAAGAAAGAGAGTTTGGCCACTCACCAATTTGACACTTAAGGCACCCTTTGGTATCTGCTATCTTGGCTGACAGAGCAAACTTCCTGCCACAAAAGGAAAATGGTTTACAATATATACCGGTATATATATATGGTGTATATATATATATACATGGTGTATATATATATATGTTCGATCCTAGGTAGAGGCAGATATTTCTCTCTCTGGGCACAATGAGAAATATACCAGCTGAACAAAACTCCATACTGGCAACAGGGAGAGCATCCGGCCAGTAAACACACTCTAGCTCCATTCAGTTGCCCAGACTCCACCCCGCAAAGGATTATGGGGTCATTAAATGAAGATGATAATGATGATGATCCTTTTAGAAAATTAGCAGATGTCTCATTCCCCCTCAAGCATTAATTAAGACTCAGTGAGTCAGTTACCAATGGGTCCAAATTTTGATCACCTAACCATAGGGATGCAGCAAGGATTGTAAGTGTGAAAAAGTCATGCCACTTTTTTTTTTCAGGGGCATTGTAACTTCATATGGTCACTCTACAAACTAGTGTAAGTCCAGACTTACAGCCACTTGTTTAGTGACTGCTCAAAATGACAATGGCACTGAAAAAAAAAAGTGACTTGTGACCGTTTTCCAAACTTACAACTTTGCAGCATCCCCATGATCAAAATTTGGACGCTTGGCAATTGCCATATATTGTTTGACAGTGGGAATGTCAAACATAAATGGGGTTACGTGACCACTCTGTGCAACCTCCTGACAATCAAAGTCCATGGGGAAATCAGAAAAGGGTAGAATAGAATAGAATAGAATAGAATAGAATAGAATAGAATAGAATAGGACCTTGGAGATTTTCTAGTCCAACCCCCTGCTTAGGCAGCAAACCCTACACCACTTCAGACAAAGAATAGAATAGAATAGAATAGAATAGAATAGGGTAGAATAGGGTAGAAATAGAGTAAATAGAATAAGAAGTAGAGAATAGAATAGAATAAGAAGTAGAGAATAGAATAGAATAAGTAGAGAATAGAATAGAAATAGGTAGAGCAGTATAGAATAGAATAAGAATAGAATAGTGTAGAATAGAATAGAATAGAATAGAATAGAATAGAATAGAATAGAATAGAATAAGAAGTAGAGAATAGAATAGAATAAGTAGAGAATAGAATAGGGTAGAAATAGAGTAGAATAAAATAGAAATAAGAAGTAGAGAATAGAATAGAATAGAGTAGAAATAGAGTAGAGTAAAATAGAATCAGAAGTAGAGAATAGAATAGAATAAGTAGAGAATAGAATAGAAATAGAGTAGAAATAGAGTAGAATAGAATAGAATAAGGAGAGAATAGAATAGAGTAGAATAGAATAGAATAGAATAGAATAGAATAGAATAGAATAGAATAGAATAGAATAGAATAGAATAAGAAGTAGAGAACAGGGTAGAAATAGAGTAGAATAAAATAGAAATAAGAAGTAGAGAATAGAATAGAATAGAGTAGAAATAGAGTAGAGTAGAATAGAATAAGAAGTAGAGAATAGAATAGAATAGAATAGAGTAGAAATAGAGTAGAGTAGAATAGAAATAAGAAGTAGAGAATAGAATAGAATAGAGTAGAAATAGAGTAGAGTAGAATAGAATAAGAAGTAGAGAATAGAATAGAATAGAATAGAGTAGAAATAGAGTAGAATAAAATAGAAATAAGAAGTAGAGAATAGAATAGAATAGAGTAGAAATAGAGTAGAGTAGAATAGAATAAGAAGTAGAGAATAGAATAGAATAGAATAGAGTAGAAATAGAGTAGAGTAGAATAGAAATAAGAAGTAGAGAATAGAATAGAATAGAGTAGAAATAGAGTAGAGTAGAATAGAATAAGAAGTAGAGAATAGAATAGAATAGAGTAGAAATAGAGTAGAGTAGAATAGAATAAAGAAGTAGAGAATAGAATAGAATAGAGTAGAAATAGAGTAGAGTAGGGAAGAGCAGAATAGAATAGAATAGAAACAGAACAGAACAAAAACTTTTTTGTCACTTTAAATGTACACTAATCAGCATACATTAAAATGAAGTTTCATTGCATCCAGCTCTCAAAAGATAACCATTTTGCATATGCCCACATACGACACAGAGAAACCCTGCAGTCTAGTTCAGATGTATACATAACCTGTGTATACACAGATTCCCTGAACAACTGTACTAACATAATAACTGCAGCGATTCACTTAACAACCGTGGCAAGTTGTAAAACGGGGCAAAATTCACTTAACAACTATCTGGCCTCACATCCGAACTGTTGGTCGTAAACCGAGAACGACCTCTACACAGTGTGCAAGGGTCAGGTCTTATCTCAACCCAAAATCCAAGAGACGGGGGCCTGAAAGATGGCAGCCCATTTCCACTCTCCTCTCTCAAAGGGTCCTCAGCCCGCCCCCCACCCCCAAACTTCTAGCTTCCAGTCAACCTTCCCAGGTAGTCCCGCAGGAAACACAATCACCTGAGCTAATTCTACTTTATTGTAAGGCTACATTAATACAACCTTGCAGGTCTGAAAATACGAATCTCCCGCTGTCTCTTTTACAGCCTGATTAAGTGGGAGTAGGGGTCAGCATCAAGGCAACCTGAGAGCTCCGAGGAGGAGGAGGGAATGGAGCTGGCAGAGAGAGAGAGAGAAACAGAGGTGGAGTCCGGGCCGTCCGTCAGCCCTCAGATAGAGAGTCAACAGCCCCCAGGTCTGGAGGTGGTTGATGACGAAGAGGAGGAACAGCTGGGCCCAGTGCCTGAGAAGTAGATGTGCAGAAGGCAGAGGAGAGGAGAACAGTGGAAATCTATGGGCCGGTCCTTGGGACGGAAGAGCCACTGCTGCTAGTGAAGCCCCACCCTAGCTCTGGGGATAAAAGGCAGGGGGCGGAGATGAATAGATGGGGCAGACAACTACTCATCTCCCAGACGGACAGACTTGTTAGCTTGCGGTGAGAGAGAAACTTTTTGCCGGGGCTGCCGGCGCTCCTAATAAAGGAATGTTTGAGTTAACTTCAAAGAGGGTTTGTCGTGTTTGGGGAACTGGGTTAGAACATTAACTAATTAATGTTCAAGCTGCATTTACTCTAGTGCTGACATAAGAAGGAGAAGCGGAGGCATCTGGAAAGGGACGTTTGACTTTTCACCTACTTATTTTCCCTGGAGATAATATCTCCTAGGAGATGGGATGGGAGGGGGGAAATTCCTTTGAGCTGGAGCAGTAGATTAGGGGTAGAGTGACTTGGAAGATGGCCAATGAGTGCAGGGGAGCGGGGAACGGAAAGGGAGGGTTTTGGGTCTGGAGGTCAGTGTTGGCTGCAATGGAGTCGTAGTCAGAATGTCGTGCTTAATAAATGGGAGTTTTTCTTCAAAGACTTTTGTTTGAAATGCAATTTATTTGAGACGACCTCAAAACCTTACAGAGAGATTCCTTCCTGAGTTTCTTTCCCTGCCCTTTATGCAGCTGTGGGCCATGCCTGCTCTTATCTAAGAGGCCAGGGGTCCTCAACCCCAGATCCATGGAGTGGCACCAGGCTGCAGCATGCCAGAAACCAGGGTGGTCAAACAAGCAAAGCCTGGTCCATGGGATGCAGAGGCAGCACACGAAACCACGCTGCCTCCGGTCCATGGAAAAACCACAGAACTGATCCCTGGTGCCCAAAAGGGTAGGGGCCACTGCCCTAGGCAGCATCTCTTCTTCCCATTTCTCACAAGGCCATTCACACTCCACCCCCATGCCATTACTCTTCGTTAGAGACCTCTGGCTTTTCCTCCCCCTCACCCAAGGGTGGACTCTTGGGGGTTCGGCAGGGTTCGGGGTGATCCTCTAGCCAATGATCGCTGGGGTTCGGTAAACCCCCAAATGCCAGCCCTGGCTGGCCATGCCTGCCACACCCACCCCATCCCTCCCAGGAGTCTCCACGCGGCCCGTTCATCATTCTAGGTAAGTGCAGGGGCCGCGTGGAAAGTCTGGGAGGGCAAAAAACGGACCTGTTTCCGGCCTCTGGAGGGCCTCCGGAGCCCGGAGGAAGCAGTTTTCGCTCTCCCGGAGGCTCAAAGAAAGCCTCTGGAGCCTGGGGAGGGTGAACCCCCCCCGCCATGGTGCAGGCGGCCAACTAGGCCACGCCCACCACGCCCACGCCCACCCAGCAACGAACCCGTTGCTAAAGGCTCTGAAGCCCACCCCTGCCCTCACCTCTCCCCACCTGGGGATGATTCTCTCCGTCAGTCGGTTGGTGGCAATGGAAAGAGGAACCGGCCGCTTTTGAAGCTGACGACGTTGTTCGAAGAGACCCAAGAGGTTGTGTGAAGAGATCTGGGGGGATTTTCCTGAAACACCAGAAGAAGGAATGAGCCTAGGAGGGAGCAGATGAGTCCTTGTCCTTTTTAATACATTCAACTCAGCCAGATGTCTGCAGAATCAATCTCCTAAACTCGTTTCCTTCCTTTCCACATTTGGCTTCGCCTCAAACTCTGGAAAATGACAGGTAGTCCTCCAGGGTGGATTTGATTTAAATCAAGTCGATTTAAATCATGATTTAAATCATGATTTAAATCACTAGTAAAAAGACTTGATTTAAATCAACTCGATTTAAATCATAATTTTTAAAGAGCAACTGTCATCTCTGCTACTCCTTTGACCCACTGTTGACTCACCGATAGTCCCAGTGTTGCAGAATATACAGCCTCGTGCTACATAACTAAGCTCCATTTCATGCTGAATAAATTAAATTATTTATGTATCTTAAACAGAAAACTATCTTACGATAGATTTTTACCCCAAAAGTTTTTTATTAAAATAAATTCAATAAAAATAAAAAAAATCTGATTTAAATAAAAAAATCCGATTTAAATAAAAAAAAAACGATTTTTTTTTATTTTTTAAAAAAAATCATTGATTTTTATCCACCCTGTAGTCCTCACAGGTGGGTGTCACACATACCATAACAACCGGTTTTCTGAAAACTCCAGAAGTCCTTTGCACAAATAGCAGGCACTCCACGCAAGAGGAATGGGTTCAGCAGGACTGAACTTCCTTTGCAAGTCTTTTTAAAAAGGAGCTCCCCCCGCCATCCGTCCTCCCCAAATATAGCTGGCTCTAACATCCCCCATCACAGTCACTGCAACGTCCCGCCAGCCCAAGAGAGGAAGTTTGTTGCAGCCAAACCTTCTGTCCATCCCAAAGCAGATCATCCGGGCATGGAAAATTTGTCCCAAACAGGAAAAAGAAAAGTTATTTCCCAGGCCCAGGTGTATCCCCGGAGACTCACCTGCCAAAGTCAGGAGGGTATTGTTAATACAGTAGAGCCAAGAGCATCGGTGGGGAAGGAGCTGATGAGAGAAACAAAGAAGAGAAGAAATGGAGAGAAACAGAGGAAGAGAGAGAAAAATGGTCCATCAATCTTGGTAAACTCCGATTAGGGAAATGTACATAGTCAGGGTCCTGCCTGAAGGCATCAAACATGACAGTCAGATTAGTTTAGTTAGTAGTTAAGGCACCAGGCTACAAACTAGGCGATGATGAGTTCTAGTTCTGTCTTGGGAACAAAAATTGGCTGGGTGACTATGGACCAATCACCAGGAGACTGTGAGTTCTAGTCCTGCCTTAGGCACTAAGATAGCTAGGTGACTTTAGACCAATCACCAGGAGAAAGTGAGTTCTAGTCCTGTCTTAGGCATGAAAGATGGCTGGGTGACTATAGACCAATCACCAGGAGAAGGTGAGTTCTAGTCCTGTTTTAGGCATGAAAGATGACTGGGTGACTATGGACCAGTGGACTAGAAGTCACCAGGAGAAGGTGACTTCTAGTCCTGCCTTAGGCACTCAAGATAGCTAGGTGACTTTAGACCAATCACCAGGAGATGGTGAATTCTAGTTCCACCTTAGGCATGAAAGCTTATTGGGTGACTTTACACCAATCACCAGGAGACTGTGAGTTCTAGTCCTGCCTTAGGCACGAAAGATGGCTGGGTGACTTTTGGACCAATTACCAGGAGAAGGTGAGTTCTAGTCTTGCCCTTAGGCATGAAAGCCAGTTGGATGACTTTGGGCTGGTCCCCCCCCCTCTCAGTCCAACCTCACAGGGTTGTCGTTGTGGGGAAAACAGGAGAAAGGAGTATTAGGTACGCTCGCCAGCTTGAGTGACCGATAAAAACAATAAAAGTGGGATATAAAAAAACTAAATAATTTAAAGAAATTTCAAGCAACTTGCTAAATTACAGAGAGTTGGGAATCCAAGTCCATTTGTTGCAGTTTAAGCAGAGAGCAGAGGGACTGGCCTGCTACAAGATGGCTTAATCGTGGCTTGTAGCAGTCAAACAGGCAAAGGGCCCCTCTCACCGGTTCTTTCCTTGTGTTTCTCTGAGGAGAACTCACCTTCTCCATCGTGTCTTCGTGGAGCTCATGAAGATTCAAGGTATATATACCTTCCTCTGCTCCCACAACCAGATACAGATCTGCAAACCAGAAAAGGAAGTTTATAAACCATGGTTGGCAACATTGAAAGAGAATACGGTGGATTAGGAATGGAGAGATCCAAGTTCTAGTTTTCTCTTGACCATAGATTCCTACCTGGTCCAACACCTGGCTGGTGTTAAGAGGGAAAAAAAATTATCACTGTTTCTCAATCTTGGCAACTTTTAAGATGTGTGGACTACAACTCTCAGAATTCCCTAGCCAGCATGCTGGCAGGGTATTTCTGGGAATTGAAGTCCATCCATTTTAAAATATTCTGGCTGGGGAATTCTGGGAGTTGAAGTCCACCCATTTTAAAATATTCTGGCTGGGGAATTCTGGGAGTTGAAGTCCACCGTTTTAAAATATTCTGGCTGGGGAATTCTGGGAATTGAAGTCCACCCATTTTAAAATATTCTGGCTGGGGAATTCTGGGAGTTGAAGTCCACCCATTTTAAAATATTCTGGCTGGGGAATTCTGGCATTTGAAGTCCACTTGTTATAAAATATTCTGGCTGGGGAATTCTGGGAGTTGAAGTCCATCTGTTCTAAAATATTCTGGCTGGGGATTTCTGGGAGTTGAAGTCCATCCATTTTAAAACATTCTGGCTGGGGAATTCTGGGAGTGAAGTCCACTTGTTATAAAATATTCTGGCTGGGGAATTCTGGGAGTTGAAGTCCATCCATTTTAAAATATTCTGGCTGGGGAATTCTGGGAGTTGAAGTCCACTTGTTATAAAATATTCTGGCTGGGGAATTCTGGGAGTTGAAGTCCATCCATTTTAAAACATTCTGGCTGGGGAATTCTGGGAGTTGAAGTCCACTTGTTATAAAATATTCTGGCTGGGGAATTCTGGGAGTTGAAGTCCATCCATTTTAAAATATTCTGGCTGGGGAATTCTGGGAGTTGAAGTCCACTTGTTATAAAATATTCTGGCTGGGGAATTCTGGGAGTTGAAGTCCATCCATTTTAAAATATTCTGGCTGGGGAATTCTGGGAGTTGAAGTCCACTTGTTATAAAATATTCTGGCTGGGGAATTCTGGGAGTTGAAGTCCACTTGTTATAAAATATTCTGGCTGGGGAATTCTGGGAGTTGAAGTCCATCCATTTTAAAATATTCTGGCTGGGGAATTCTGGGAGCTGAAGTCCACAGCTCTTAATTTACCAAGATTGAGAAATACTGTTATAGATGCCATCTTCTGATGGAATACAGATTGCAGAAATCAACCAGAAATAAAATCCCTACCTCGTGTTTCCGGATGGATCCACGTCGGTAGCTGAGTTGATCTTCAGTGGGCAGCCATTGAAAACCTTGGAAAAACAAGCTCCCATCTAAGAAAGGAGGAAATGGGAATATTGGGGTGTGTTTGTGTGTGCAGGAAATGTTGTCAACTCCTTTCAGTGCTTTTAATCTCATTTTTTGGACTTCAGATCAAATCTTTCTTTTAGTCCAGCAGTGGGGAACTGTGGCTCTTTTTATGACTTGTGGACTTCAACTCCCAGAATTCATGAGCCAGCCAATGCTGGCTCAGGAATTCTGGGAGTTGAAGTCCACAGATTGTAAAAGGGCCATAATCAGGGGTAGGCTTCAAAAATTTTAGCAAGGGGTTCTCTGCCTGGTTGCTGGGTGGGCGTGGCCATGGTGGGTGTGGCCTAGTCGGCCTCCTGCACCATGACTGCGGAGGTGTTTTTGCCCTCCCCAGGCTCCGGAGGCTTTCCTGGAGCCTCCAGATGGACGAAAACGGCCTCCCCAGGCTCCAGAGGCCAGAAACGGGCCTGTTTCCGGCCTTCCCGAACTTCCAGTAGGCCCGTTTTTCGCCCTCCCCGAGCCTCCATGCGTGCCCTGCGCTTACCTGCATCCAAAATGGGCCGCGTGGGGACTCCTGGGAGGGGTGGGGCCAGCCAGGAGTGGGATTTGGGGGTTCTCCGAACTGCACAGAATCTTAGCTAGAGGTTCTCCTGAACCCTTGCGAACTCCGAGCAGCTCACCCCTGGCCATAATAGTTCCCCAACCCAGTTTTAGTCATAGGCAGATTTGAGACTTTTCTAACCCTTCAAAGTGAGCAAAACTACCACATTTTCACAGTTTGCCCCCCAGAATTTTGCAAAGTCGCCCACTTGCGTTCTCTCCAGGCAGAAGTTCGTTTGAGCTTACTTTCCCATCTTACGACTTTCATCACGCACCACACAAAAACTCAACAGCCACTGAAATACACACCACTGGCCTTAAATAACATATTTCAGCTGCTCTTTGAAAAAAGTTTTTTTTGGATTTTTTGGGGGGTAGGGAAGAAGGAAATGTAACTTACATGAACTTTGGGTGTAGGGGGCAATCCGTGGCACAGCAATCTCTGGAAAGAGAGGGGAGGATTAAAGGAACGTTACTAAAAACTTCCCAATATTTTCCTTTTTTAATAAAAGAAACAAAGCGCTGTCTCTAACTCCATCCCTCATTCAATCGCAGAGTTACCATATTTTTCGGAGTATAAGATGCACTCCCCCCCCCCACGAGAGGGTGAAAATTTGGGTGCGTCATACACTGAATGTAGCCCCACCCACCTGCCAGCCCCCACCCTTTGGCCTCTGCCTCCCAGCAATTTACCTCCTTGCAGCAAACAGCAAACTGCCCGTTTCAGCTTCAGCACAGCCTGATTAACACAAGCAGCTGATTGTCGGTTGGATCGGCCTCCCGACCCTCAGCTGTTTCAGGCTGCAGGGATTTGCCATTGCCTATTGCCGCGCGGGCCTCCTGCAAGCGGGCAAATTGCTGGGAGGCAGATTTTTTTTTTTCTTGTGCTAATCAAGCTGTGCTGAAAACAAAACTAAAGCCAACTGTTTGTTGTGCTGGGAGGCAGAGTTATTGTAAGTGTTTTATGAGTCTTCTTTTCTTCTTGGTGTCCTTTTGTTGTAAAATTTCTGTTTAGAATCACAATTAGCTGGAATTTAAAAAGCATTTCTCTAACTTAATTAAAATGTTACCTGAAGTAAAATGAAGAGAGGGGAAACTAACTTCTAACAGATTGCGTGCTGAATAACTTACTGATTCTGATTACAATACCAATCTATGCAAAGAAAAAAAACCTTAAAACTTAAAACAAATATATGCACTAGCATATATCTTGTTTTCCTCCCCAAAAAAGGAAGCTGCATCTTATAGTCCGGAGAGTCTTATACTCCGAAAAATACGGTAGTCTTCCTGCTTTGGTGGGAGAAAACCAGGAATTTGACCAGAGTCATTTCACAGAATCAAAAAATAAAATAAAAATTCTAGGCTTGGAAGGGAACTTAAGAGGTCCTCTAGTCCAACCTCCTGCTCAGTGCCCAGGATTCTCGACAGCATCCCAGAGACATGACCGTCCAGCCTCTGTTGGAAAACTTCCTGCGAAGGGAGACCTCACCACTACGGGATCATACAATCGGCGGCTTCCTTCCCAAAAATCTAACCAGAATCCCCTTGCTTGCAATTTTATCCCGATAATTCTGGCCCCGCCTTCTTGGGGCCACCAATGAGAAGCCCGTGTTCTCTTCATGTAGTCCTCCACTTACAACCATTCGTTCAGTGACCATTCAAAGTCACGACGGCACTGAAATTTTTCACACTTACGATTGTTTCAGCATCCCCATGGCTGTCCGCCAGCAGCCTGAGGAGCTGGCAGAGGAGTCGGACAGTGAGGAGGCTGGGGAGGAACATGGGCCAGTCCTGGAGTCTGGGGAAGGCCCAGACGAGGGCTTTGCGTCAGAGGCGGAGATGGGGCCAGGGCCATCTGGGAGTGATGTGCGGACTCCGGAGCCTCCAGAATCGGACATCAGAGAGGCAGAGGAACAGGGGGAGCCTGTTCCTAGTGCATGCATGCGCAGAGCTACCAGAAGGCAAGAACAGCTAAAGCAAAAGGGACGACTCGGGAGTAAGGCCTGGAGATGATTGGCCCCTCCCATAAGGCTTAAAAGAGGAGCAAAGGCACTGGGCCCTTCGCAGGAAAGCAACGTTGTTAATTCTGTTCCCAGTCGGCATCTCTGTTTGATTCTGGACTCCGTGGGGCTTTGCCAAGTAAGTTCTTTGGTAGAGTGTCAAGGGAGATAAAGGTTGGCGATTATCCCGAAGGACTTCTCCCGAAGGACTTTTTGCAACTAATTGGGACTCAGCTGTGAATGAACGTAATTCACAGCTGTTGCAATAAAAGAGGTTTTTGGGGACTACTCGTGTGTTTTAATGACTCAGGAAGCCGAGGTCACAACAACAGCCAAAAAAGTCAGACAGTTGACAACTGGGTTATGTTTATGACAGTCGCAGTGCCCCAGGGCCATCTGATCCCCTTTTGCGACCCAGAATTCCCCAGCCAGCCTTGTTGAAGTCCACGGGTCTTAAAGTTACCAAGGTTGTATATTCCTGCTCTTGGGACAGAAAGTTGGTTGTATCTGTATCTGAACTGATCTTTTCTTTCCCCGAGTCTCTCGTAATTGCTCCTTTCAACTTGGTTGAACTCTGGTTTTTAACTTGGTCTAATCTATAGCTTTTATATCACTTTGCTGCTTTGATTGGATACCACACAGAGTTTGATGTAAGGTACTGAAAATTACCATGCCGCCGGCGTCTCCTGAAGCCACCGCCGTTGGAGCCGCGATAGGGATGGGGGCAGCTCAGTAAGCTGGGTGCCTGAAAACGGTACGGCGGTGCTGGGGGAAGGCTGGGAGGGGGTGCAATACGCGGGAGGCTCCCCGCAGTTCCTTGGCTCATCTGGGCTGCAGCTGAGTCCGCTGCCTTGAGCTGGCGGAGTGGGTTGCTCCGGCTGCAAACCACGAGGAAGGCCCGTCAGAGGCGAGAAGGGGCGCTTTTCGGCCAGGAAGGGCAACGGAAGGAAAGCCGAGGCGACCACCGCCACCCCACGCATCCCGACCTGGATATGGGGCCGGAGAGTCAAAAATTTTAGCCACCTTTTCGGTGGGCGTGGCTTGGGGCAGGTCATGTGACTGAGTGCGTGAGTGACATCAAGTTGGCCATGCCCAATCAGTCACACACACACACACATACACCTAGCCACACCCACCGAACCGGTAGTAAAAAAATTTTTAGAACCCACCACTGATGCAGGGCCACCCAAGATGGACAGATCACCGCAGATGGGGACTGCAGACAAGGAATTAAAAGACATTTGCTCCTGGGGAGGAAAGCCGTGGCAAATCTAGACAGCATACTAAAAAGCAGAGACATCGCCTTGTCAACAAAAGTGCGTATAGCCAAGGCTTATGGTTTTCCCAGTTGCAATGGATGGCTGTGAAAGTTGGACCATAAGGAAGGCTGAGAAGGCCAAAGAATGGAGGCCTTTGAACTCTGGTGCTGGAGAAGACTCCTGCGAGTCCCTTGGGCTGCAAGGCCATCCAACCAGTCGGTCCTAGAGGAGATCAACCCTGACTGCTCTCTAGAAGGCCAGATCCTGAAGAGCAAACTCAAATCCTTTGGCCACCTAAGGAGAAGGAAGGACTCCCTGGAGAAGAGCCCAATGCTGGGAACGATGGAGGGCAAAAGGAGAAGAAGGGGACGAGAGAGAAGGAGGTGGCTGGATGGAGTTACTGAAGCAGTCGGCGTGATCTTAAATGGACTCCAGAGGATGGTAGAGGACAGGAAGGCCTGCAGGAACGTCGTCCATGGGGTCGCGATGGGTCGGACACAACTTCGCAACTAACAACAACAACAAGCCATACCCAATTCCTTCAACCGCCAAACACAGTTTGAACAATCCTGATTTAGCATGCTTACGGTGGCTTCCTCCTTCTTTTTCATGGTGGCCCACTCAGTGGAGAGGAGGCTGTCTGGAGGTTTGGGAGAATCCACCACAGGAGCGTCTGGCGTCCCACCGAAGGCTGTGTTGCCTATTGTCGAAAGAGGAACCACAAAATCACTTGCAGGAAAAGAGTTTGGATTTCTCTTTAATAAGCTTCCACCCATTATTTCTGCCTTCTGGTGCTTTGGAGAATAAGTCAATCCCCTCTTCTCGTGACAGCCCCTCAAGTATGGTAGACCCCTACCATGTCAACCCCTAATCCAGGGGTCTCCAAACTTGGCCCCTTTAAGACTTGTGGACTTCAACTCCCAGAATTCCTCACCCAGCCATGCCTGGTTTTTTTTTTCTCCTAGCCCCTAGAGCAGAGAGATTGCAGAGGAAGGGATTACAAGAGAGTAAACAGGTTACAGAAGAGAGATTGCAGAGGAAGGGATTACAAGAGAGTAAACAGGCTATAGCTGAGAGATTGCAAAGGAAGGGGTTACGAGAGAGTAAACAGGCTACAGCAGAGAGATTGCAGAGGAAGGGATTACAAGAGAGTAAACAGGCTACAGCAGAGAGATTGCAGAGGAAGGGATTACAAGAGAGTAAACAGGCTATAGCCGAGAGATTGCAAAGGAAGGGGTTACGAGAGAGTAAACAGGCTACAGAAGAGAGATTGCAGAGGAAGGGATTACAAGAGAGTAAACAGGCTACAGCAGAGAGATTGCAGAGGAAGGGATTACAAGAGAGTAAACAGGCTACAGCGGAGAGATTGCAGAGGAAGGGATTACAAGAGAGTAAACAGGCTACAGCAGAGAGATTGCAGAGGAAGGGATTACAAGAGAATAAACAGGCTATAGCGGATAGACATATCAAAAAGGAATGCATTAGTTCCAGGGAACTCTGGGAGTTGAACTCCACAAGTGTTAAAGGGGCCAAGTTTGGGGACCCCTGCCCTAATCCTTCAGTTTGGTACACTAGATCAGGGTGTCCAAGCTTTGCTGGCTAGGGAATTCTGGGAGTTGGAAGTCCACAAGTCTTAAAATTGCCCAGTTTGGAGACCCCTGAACTAGACGTAAATACAGCTAGTCCTTGAGTTACGACCACAATGGAGCCCAACATTTATGCTGCTACTTGAGACATTGGTTGAGTTTTGATCTATTTTACGACCTTTCTTGCCACGGTTGTTAAGCGAATCCTAAGCGAATCTGGCTCCCCCCCTTGACTTTGCTTGTCAGGAGGTCCCAGGGACACTGCTACCGTCATAAATATGAGCCGGTTGCCCAAGCATCTGAATATTTGATCACATGTCCGGTCACTAAATGAGCTGTTGTAAGTCGAGGACTACCTGTAGACATCGTTATGAAATAAATGTGGAATATTTATTTATTTATTTATTGGTTCGATTTATATGCTACTCTTCTCCGGACACTCAGGGCGGCTTACAATGCGTTAAGCAATAGCCTTCATACTTTTTGTATATACCTGCTTAGTAGGGCTTTTGCCCCCACCCTCCCAAGCAGTGTTCTTTTTTTTATACAAAGTCAGTTTATTGCCCCCACAATCCGGGTCCTCATTTTACCTACCTTGAAAGGATGGAAGACTGAGTCAACCTTGAGCCTGGTGAGATTCGAACTTGCAGTAATTGCAGGCAGCTGGTAGCTAAGTGCTACTTAACAGCACTTTAGTCCGCTGCACCAAGGCTCTTGTATATTGAATATTTATTAGCCGTGTGGAATAAAAGGCCTGATGTATGCTGGTGACCCCCAGGGGGAGAGCCTTCTCTGTGGGGGCACCTACCCTCTGGAATCAGTTACCCCCAGAGATAAGGAGAATCCAAGACCTCGGTGCCTTCCGCCGTGCCCTTAAAACCCACTTTTTCCAGCAAGCCGGGCTGGCTTAAGAAGAAATTTTTAAAAGTTTTAAATTGGTTTGTGATTTTTAATTTTTGGGCCAAATTTATATCTATTTTAATTGTTTTTTAATATTTGTATTTTATGTTCTTAATTCTGGCTGTACACCGCCCTGAGTCCTCAGGGAGAAGGGCGGTATATAAATTGGAAATAAACTAAACTAAAACTAAACTGACTCATCTGGCACTGATGATGAAAAATGGTGTTAGGGTCTCACGCTCGGGGGCAGGCGGGCGGGGAGGGGGGTTGGACTAGATGACCTTCAAGGTCCCTTCCAATTCTGTTATTATTATTCTATTCTTTGATGGTTTACTTGGTCTCGTAATACAAAGTGAAAGATACCTCTTTACCTGGGACGGTGTGGTCCCTGGGCCCCTCCAGATCCGACTGCTCCCCGTCCTGCTCCCAGGGAGCCTTATAGGCGAGCTCAAGGTTAAGGAAATCCCAAAAGGGGCCCCTTTTGATAGTGCTGGAAACATCTTCCCCAAGTCCGCCCGTCCGCTGCTCCTCCTCGGTCTGCAGCGGAGAAAAAAAACAAACAAACCCCAGAACAGATACAGATGAACAGAGTTGGAAGGGACCCTGGAGGTCATCTAGTCCAACCTCCCCTGAAGCAGGAGACTTGACACCATTTCTGACAAATGGCAGCCCAGTCTCTTCTTGAAAGCCTCCAGGGATGAAGCTCCTACAACCTCCAAAGGCAACTTCTCTTCCATGGGTTGATTGCTCTCACTGTCAGAAAATTCCTCCTTATTTCCAGGTTGAATCTCTCCTTGGTCAGTTTCCATCCAATTATTCCTTGTCTGGCCTTCGATTGCCTTGAAAAATAGCTTGACCCCCTCCCTCCTCTCTGGGGCAGCCCCTCAAATATTGAAAGATGCTCTCTTGTCTCCCCTGGTCCTTCTCCTCCCTAGACTAGCCAGGCCCAGTTCCTGCCACCATTCATCATATGTTTTAGCCTCCAGTCCCCTCATCATCCCTTCCAACACACTTTTCAGTTCAATCATAATGGAAGGGACCTTGGAGGTCATTTAGTCAAACCCCCCTCCCCAGAAGAAGACCCTACACAGTGTAACTTCTGTTCTTATTTCCTGCAACCGTTCTTCGTATGTTTTAGCCTCCAGTCCCCTAATCCTCCTGCTTGCTCTTCTCTGCACTCTTTCTAGAGTCTCCACATCTTTTTTGTATAGTGTGGCGACCAAAACTGGATGCCGTATCCTAGGTGTGGCCTTACTAAGGCTTTACAGATATAGTCCCTCACACTATAATATTGCAGAACGATATTCTAGATAGAATTCTCACAATCGTTTGCAGAACCCAAAGGAAGTGGCCGTTTCAAGAAACATGTGCAGTTTGGATAATCCCGGAAGCATACCTGCTCTGTAGGACGTGCTGGGCGGATGGTTAGACTCCTAAAGGAAGAAAAAAGCATTTAAAAAAAAAAAATAGAAAACAGAATAAAAGAATGGGGGGGAAATCCAAAGTTGTCAACCCTCCCATTGGCATGTGCAGCAAAAGAATAGCGATAGCACCTAAGACTTATATACCGCTTCACAGTGCTTTCACAGCCCTCTCTAAGTGGTTTACAGAGTCAGCCTCTTGCCCCCCCCCCCGACAATCTGGGTCCTCATTTTACCCACCTCGGAAGGATGGAAACAATGGTGGGTTGCTACCGGTTCGCCCTGGGATCTGCTCACCCGCCCGGACATCTCTGCACATGCACAGAAGTGTCGCTCGCACGTACATGCGCACTCACCCACGAGCAAACCGGTAAGCAGGGGGTTGGACTAGAAGACCTCCAAGGTCCCTTCCAACTCTGTCATTCTATTCTATTCTATTCTATTCTATTCCTATTCTATTCTATTCTATTCACGAAATTGAAACCCACTACTGAATGGAAGGCTGAGTCAACCTTGAGCCTGGTGAGATTCGATCTGTCAAACTGCTGGCAGCCGGTGATCAGCAGAAGTAGCCTGCAGTACTGTACTCTAACCCCTGCGCCACCTCAAGAAACTCCCGAGATATGATTTTTACCAAGAAAATACAGGTAGTTCTCAACTTTACGACCGCAACTGAGTCCAACATTTAAGTTGTTAAGTGAGAAATACGTCAAGTGACTTTTGCAATGAGCCAGGGGAACGGAAGTTGCCACCAGAAGTTGTGGGTGCTCCAACAATGGAGGCTTTTTAAGAAGAGACTGGACAGCCACTTGTCTGGAATGGCATAAGGTCTCTTGCTTGGGCAGGGGGTTGGACTAGAAAACCTCCAAGGCCCCTTCCAACTCTTGTTATTCCGTTAATGGGGACAGCCAGATTCACTCAACGACCAAACAGCTGCAGGGATTTGGCTAACAACCACGACAAAAAAAGGTCGTAAAATCAGGCACAATTCTCTTAACGACCACCTTGATTAACAAGAGAAATTCTGTTCCCAATTGTGGTCATAAGCCGAGGATTACCTGCTTTGGGGTGGGGGCCATATTGAGGCTACTATCATGATGGTCCCAAAAGCCCATCCACCCCCAAATTATGCTGAGCTGGGCAAGACCACCATTTAAAAGTTTTATTGGGGATAGAAAACAACAGACCAGGTTTAATGTTGGCCTGTCTGGGGAAATTTTGCTACTTCCCCAAAGTTTCTAGGTCAGGGGTCTGCAACCTTAAACACTGAAAGAGCCATTTGGACCCGTTTCCCACAGAAAAGAAAACTCCAGGAGCCACAAAAACCTTCCCGTGCCTGACTATTTCTTGAGCGGCCACAAAACTAGCATATGTAGTCGAATTAAACATTCTGTTTACTTCTGAAACTTTTCTTTTCTTGGATTTATCTATGGTTGGCCTACCAGGGGTTGAAAAGCTCAGTAAATCACGTGCCGGCAGGTGTTGCACATTGGCAATTGTGCTGCATATTTTGAGTGACAGGGAGCCGCAGCAGAGGGGTGAAAGAGCCACATGCGGCTCCAGAGCCGCAGGTTGCTGATCCCTATTCTAGGTGAATCTCCACCTTCTCTTACCTCTCTTCCAGGGCCTCTTCGACGGACTGAAGCAAGCTCCTAGGGAAAGTGAAAACATGGCACAAGGTTACCCATCAGTTGCTCACATCAAGCCACAGTTTGCTCCATCGAGGTTTCCCCAAACATACTTTTTCAAAAGCCAACCGGACTTTGGGTTTTTCCTCGAAGGTTTTCGTTTCTCATCCAAGTGGACAATCACTTAAATAGGAGCCAGCCGTGTGTTGCCAAAAATGCCAACACAGTTCTAGGCTGCATTAACATAGAATCAAGACAGGCGTGGGATTCAGCCGGTACGAGCGAATCGGATGCTAATTTTACATCTGGTTCGCCGAACGGGTAGTTGCAAGGAATGTCTGGCCCTCCCCACCCAGCCCTTCCCCTTCCCAGAGTTTCCACGCGGCCTGTTTTGGATGCTAGGTAAGTGCAGGGCCCGAGCGGAAGCTCTGGGAGGGCGAAAAACAGGTCTCCCAGAAGTCTGGAAACAGGACTGTTTCCAGCCTCCGGAGGCCGGGGGAGGCCGTTTTCGGGGGAGGTTTGCACACATGCCCACACTCATAATTCTATGCGCCCCACCCTGCGCATGCATGCACAACCCCCCTCCCCCCCTGCTCCTGGCATGCGATGGCCTGGTAGGCCGTTTTCGGTAGATTCTGGAGGCTGGGGACAGCAAAAAACGTCACTTCCTGTCCAACCGGGAGTTGGGAAATGAGCCGTTTCAGGCCTCCGGAGGGCCTCCGAGGGGGTGGGGAAGGCTGTTTTCACCCTCCCCAGATGCATAGAGAGGATCTGGAGCCAGGTGAGAAAGAAAAACGGGCCTTCCACACACACCCAGGCCCTCCGGAGGTAGGAAACAGCCTATTTCCCTACTTCTGGCGGGCTCGGAAGGCCCGAAAATCAGCTGGCTGGCACGCACATGCGTGCCAGAGCTAAGCTGGCGTGCCCACTGATATGGCTATGTGACCTGGATGATTGAGAATCTCCATAGACATCTGTCAGGGTTTATTGGTCAAACCACAACTGGCTGGGTTTGGGCAGCTCACCGGCATGAAATTAAACCCCGCTATACAGCACGTGCTTTATCCAAACCCTGAGTTAACAAAACTCCGTGTTTCTGTTTGCACAGCATGTTTCAAACATGTTTCATGTTTGGTCCAGACTGCATTCTGCAGCCAGTCAAGTTTTAGACTAGTGAACTCAGCTTAAAAAGTTTCAAAGAGGCCGAAATTAGCTGCCAATGTTTTCACGCTCCGTCACAAAACCAAGTCAATGGCCCAAGGCAGGGGAGGGGAGGGGGAGGAAAATCCCCCCCCCGACCACATCTTTCATCTTCTTTTAAGGACCACACAATCCCTTGCGGGGGTGGAGTCTGGGCAACTGAATGGAGGGTGTTTACTGGCCAGATGCCTTTCCTGTTGCCAATACGGAGTTTTGTTCTGCAGATATATTCTCATGGTGCCCAGAGAGAAAAATATCCGCCTCTACCTAGGATCGAACTCACAGCCTCCTGATTGTGAAGCGAGAGCTCCACCTCTAAGCCACCGCACCACTCCCACCCTGACCACATTTCCCCCCCCCTAAATTCCTTACTCTCCGTCTCCAAGCACCATCCAATTCTCTTCCTCTTCTTCTGCCTGCGAAAGAGACAAAAACGGTCATATTAAACGGGCCAGAATAAAAGCGATCTAGTTTTATTTTTCACCCTCACAACTGGAGCTCAGAGGCTGAGCTGCTTCGCTTCTCAATTCTGACCCCCTCAGGAAAACAGGATGGGTGGGAACGTAGAGGCAGTCCTCAACTTACGATCGCAAAATTTCTGTTGTTAAGAGAACCAGCGGTTAAGTGAGTTTGGCCAGCCTTCCTTGCAGGAGTCGGCAACCTTAAACACTCAAAGAGCCATTTGGACCCGTTTCCCACAGAAAAGAAAACACCGGGAGCCACAAAACCTGGTTGGGCGTGACCGACTCGACGTCACTCACTTCCACCAGTCACATGACACCCCCCTAGCCACGCCTACCCAGCCGGTCATTAGGGCAGAGAACCAGTTGTTAAAAAACAACGGGAACCACAAAATCCTTTTGACATCTCTCTCTCCCCCCTCCCTCCCTCTCTCTCTGTATCTCTCTGTCTCTGCCTTGGCCGCTTCTCCATCTCCCGCCGTCGCCCTTACCTTCTCAGGCCAGGGGAGGAGTGACTGGGAGGGGAGGTTGAGGGGCGGGACCAGCCAGTGTTGGGATCACCTGACAGGAAGCCACAGCAGAGGGCCCAAAGAGCCACATGCGGCTCCGGAGCCCCAGGTTGCTGACACCCATGTTAGGTGAACCACTGCAGTTGTTAAGTTAGTGACATGGTTGTTAAGTGAATCTGGCTTCCCCATTGACTTTGCTTGTCAGAAGGTTGCCAAAGGGAAATCACATGCCACCCCCCACCCCCCCGGGACACTGCGACCGTCATAAATATGAGCCAGTTGCCAAGTGTCTGAATTTTGATTGTGTGACCGCGGAGCTGCTACAAGTGTGAAAAAAGAGTCATAAGTCACTTTTTTCAGTGCCATTGTAACTTTGAACGGTCACTAAATGAAACTGTTGTAAGTCGAGGACTGCCTGTATTCCACATCTAGCAAACTGGAAGGAGAAAAAAAGGAAAACAGCCAACTTACGTTATGTGTGAACAACCCTAAACCCAAGTTTGTTTCCTCACCAGTTAAAGGATTGATACCCTCAGCTGCAAAACCACAGTTTACAGCCTGACTATGGCTGGACTCACGCAAACGTTAAACCGAGCCAAACAAGTAAAGATAAAGGTAAAGGTTCCCCTCACACATATGCGTTAGTCGTTCCCGCCTCTAGGGGGCAGTGCTCATCTCCGTTTCAAAGCCGAAGAGCCAGCGCTGTCCGAAGACATCTCCGTGGTCATGTGGCCGGCATGACTCAACGCCAAAGGCTCACGGAACTCTGTTCCCTTCCCACCAAAGGTGGTCCCTATTTTTCTACTTGCATTTTTTACGTGCTTTCGAACTGCTAGGTTGGCAGAAGCTGGGACAAGTCACGGGAGCTCACCCCGTTACGCGGCAGCACTCGGGATTCGAACCGCCGAACTGCCGACCCTTTCGATCGACAAGCTCACAGACACAAATACACACCTATGAGTGCCACTTACTGGTTTGCCCCACGGCTCTGTTTCTTTCCTTAGCGGAGGGCCGAATTTAACCTGGTTAACTGGAAAGAAAAGAGGAACAATTCAAAGATCAGCCAGACAGACAGAAATGAGATTCTACTCACTGAGTTTGAAAGCCCCAAACCCCAGATTTTAAAAAGCAATGCAACAAGAAGTTAAAAAAAGTGGGCCATTTTGTGCTGACTTTGGACCACAATCTGCCAAGATTAATTAAGAACAAGGGAAGTTGTTCCCAAAAGTGCTTTTTCAAAAATGGGCCCGTTTTTTTTTTTTTTTTTTTTTTTTTTAAAAATGGGATGCAGAGAGGGTATGGGATGCTTGCAGAGTGCAAATTAAATCAAATTAAAAAAAAAAAAAAAGAGTGCTCCTGGGGGCCAGAGAGGGCAAAAATGCCCCCGTTTTTGAGAAAAACGGACCCTTTTTTGGCCTCCCAACCCCCCCCACCACATTGCATTTTTGCCCTCCCCAGGCCCCAGGAGCACTCTGTAGGCCTCCCAAACCCTCTGCGCATTCCATTTTTGTGAAAAAATGGGCCTGTTTTTGGTGAAAACTGGATGTGCAAGGTGGGGTTTCGGGAGGCCAAAAATGGATGTACTTGCTGTATAAGACGCACCAACACTTCCACCCTCTTTTTTGGGGGGGGGAGTGCATCTTATACTCTGAAAATTAAGGCAATCTTTTCTCTCTCTAGCAGGCCTCCCACATCTTAGAAAACGGTGTCAGCACCGGAGCCGCTGCTTGTATTGCAAACATACATTTGCACGGAAGGGGCATTCCGACATACGGGTTTAAACTTACGCTGGATCTCCGACAGAGTGCCTTCTGACGGCCCACGGGGCTTACTCGAGCAGATTTTATCGGGGAAAACATCGTAAGCCTGAATTGGGAGGGAAAATCACACTTTTTGTTTCCATTAATTAATTAATTACCTATTTACTTACTTATTTACTTACTTACTTAAGGTAAAGGTAAAGGTTCCCCTCGCACATATGTGCTAGTCGTTCCCGCCTTTAGGAGGCAGTGCTCATCTCTGTTTCAAAGCCGAAGAGCCAGCGCTGTCCAAAGACGTCTCCGTGGTCATGTGGCCGGCATGACTCAACGCCAAAGGCGCACAGAACGCTGTTCCCTTCCCACCAAAGGTGGTCCCTGTTTTTCTACTTGCATTTTTTTACCTGCTTTCGAACTGCTAGGTTGGCAGAAGCTGGGACAAGTCACGGGAGCTCACCCCGTTACGCAGCACACTAGGGATTCGAACCGCTGAACTGCCGATCTTTCGATTGACAAGCTCAGCATCTTAGCCACTGAGCCACTGCATCCCTCTTACTTACTTACTTATTTACTTACTTACTTACGGAATTTATATTGCCACCTATTCGCACATGGCGAGTCCAGGCAGCTTACAGAATATAAAACCTCATATAAAAACTAATAAAACTGATAAAAGAAGAATCATATAATAAATTAATATGATAAAATCACCCCACAATATATATGAAAACGATGCTGCTCACAGCAGAATGGCATCCTTAGAGGGGACAGTCTGCAGGTCCCAGAAAAAACCAGTTTACATACATTCATCCATCACCATCAGTAGTGCAGAGAAGAGCAACAAAGATGATTAGGGGACTGGAGGCTAAAACATATGAAGAACGGTTGCAGGAACTGGATGTCAGCATTCTGATGCTGCCATAAAAAGGAGGAGACGAGGCTTGACTTTTCACCTACTTATTTTCTCTGTAGATAATATCCCCTAGGAGATGGGAGGGGAGAGGGACATTCCTGTGGGCTGAGGTCAGAAGCTGGGGAGACTGACTTGGAAGATGGCCAACGAGAAGATGAGAATCGGGGAACGGAAAGGGAAGGGTTTGGGGGTCAGAGGGTTAGTATCGGCTACGACGAAGTCGGGGCCAGATCTGTCGTACTCAATACATGGAATATTTCAGCAAAGATTAATTGTTTGGGAGTGCAATTTATTTGAGATGACATCGAAACCTGACATTGGGTATGTCTAGTTTAATGAAAAGAAGGACTAGGGGAGACATAATAGCATCTTCCAATATCTCAGGGGTTGCCACAAAGAAGAGGGAGTCAAACTATTCTCCAAAGCACCTAAGGGTAGAACAAGAAGCAATGGGTGGAAAATAATCAAGGAGAGAAGCAACCTGGAACTAAGGAGAAAATTCCTGAAAATGAGGACAATTAACCAGTGGAATAACTTGCCTTCAGAAGTTACGGATGCTCCAACACTGGAAGCTTTTAAGAAGAAGTTGGACAGCCATTTGTCTGAATGGTATAAGGTTTCCTGCCTGAGCAGGGGGTTGGACTAGAAGACCTCCAAGATCCCTTCCAATTCTGTTATCAGAGGCGAGTCTAACACAGAATGGCTTAGAACAAGTGTTTCTCAACCTTGACCGCTTGAAGATGTGTGGATTTCCAGGAGTTGAAGTCCTTACATCATCAAGTGGTCAAGATTGAAAAAAGAACTAGCATAGAATATTACATGTGGTTGCAAGATCAAAAACAGACAGTCACCTCTTCAGACTCCAGGAATGCTGTGACTTGTAGATTTGGGAGGGCAAACATGGATGCCAGTCACTATTCCCAACTTTGCTAGAGAGAATAAGGTTGACCTCCTCTTCTCTGTGACAGCCCCTCAAGTATTGGGAGATGTTATCAGGTCACCCCTAGTCCTTCTCCTCGTTTAACTGGACCAAACCTGGCACCTTTTAAGACTTGTGGACTTCAACTCCCAAAATTCCCCATGCTGGCTGGGGGAATTCTGGGAGTTGAAGTCCACAAGTCTTAAAAGTTGCTGGGTTTGGAGATCCTTGGATTAGATTAGACGCACCCAGTTCCTGCAACCGTTCATCGTATGTTTTAGCCTCCGGGCCCCTTAATCCTCTTTCTTGCTCTTCTCTGCACTCTGTCTAGAGTCTCAACATTATTTATTTATTTATTGATTCGATTTATATGCCGCCCTTCTCCGGAGACTCAGGGTGGCTTACAATGCGTTAAGCAATAGCCTTCATACTTTTGTATATACCTGCTTAGTAGGGCTTTCGGGCCCCCACTAAGCGGTGTTCTTCTTTATACAAAGTCAGCTTATTGCCCCCACAATCCTGGTCCTCATTTTTATCTACCTCGAAAGGATGGAAGGCTGAGTCAACCTTGAGCCTGGTGAGATTTGAACTTGCAATAATTGCAGGCAGTTGGGGTTACTTAACAGTGCTTTAGTCTGCTGCGCCACCAAGGCTCTTTATGGTGACCAGGTCTGGACTTTCCCAGGTTTGAAGTGAAAGCGATCAACTTAACCCCCCCCTCCTCCTCCCCCCTCCCCCCAATACATCCAACACAACTGGACAACCGTACCTCGAAATCCCCATCATCCAAGGCAGAAGCAGCCAATTCAGGGTTTGTGGCTTTATCCAGTAATTCTACGGCAAGAACGCGAGCTAAAGGCTGGCAGACGAAAGGATGCTACAGGGAAAGAGACACAAAGGGATCAAAAATCCTCCCAACTTTCATTGGGAGCTTGGTTCCCCAAAAGGGACCCCGAGATTTGCTACAGCAAATGGCACCCCGGTCCAAAAACCTCCCATAATACGTTAAAGCTGCTTTAGTGTCAGCACTTCAACCTGCATTTACTCTAGTGCTAACATAAGAAGGAGAAGCGAAGGCGTCTGGAAAGGGACGTTTGACTTTTCACCTACTTATTTTCCCTGGAGATAATATCCCCTAGGAGATGGGATGGGAGGGGGGAAATTCCTTTGAGCTGGAGTAGATTAGGGGTAGAATGACTTGGAAGATGGCCAATGAGTGCAGGGGAGTGGGGAACGGAAAGGGAGGGTTTTGGGGCTGGAAGTCAGTGTTGGCTTCGATTGGAGTCGGGTTAGAATGTCGTGCTTAATAAATAGGAGTTTTTCTTCAGAGACTTTGTTTGAAATGCAATTTATTTGAGATGACCTCGAAACTTGACATTTAGTTTTATTCATTCATTTCATTTCGTTATTCACTTCATTCATTATTTATTCATTCATTCGATTAAAAAGAAACAAGGGGGGAAAAAAACTGCTTTAGGGATGAACGTAGCAAAGAAAGACAAGCCCGCCGGAATGGGGAAACTGGAAGCCCAGTGAAATATCCCAAAATTCCTCCAGAGTGACACTACATCAGGAGACAGGAAGTCCTTAGATTACTGAAAAAAAGTGACTTATAACCATTTTTCACATGACCGCTACAGCACTGCCCCCCCCAGGGTCACATGATGAAAATTCAGCTGCTTTGCAACTGACTCACATTTATGGTGACCTTCTGTCAAGCAATGGGTAAGCTAGATTCACTTAATAACTGTGTTACTACCGTGTTTCCCCTGAAAATAAGCCCTCCCTTGAAAACAAGCCCTCCCACAAAAATATTTAACCGCATACACAGCCGGTCCCCGCCATTTCCTCTGGTTAGGGTTAGGGAGACAGAGCTGGAAATCAGATAAGATGGCAAAAGGAACCCCGTTTTGCTCCATGCGCCCCAAAATAATAAGACCTCCCCAGTAGTGGGTTGCTCCCGGTTTGCACCGGTTCAGAAGAACCGGTAGTAAAACTTTTTAGTAGTTCGGAGAACCGGTAATAACATTGGCTTGGCCACGCCCCCAAATCGGTCCCCAGCCCGGTCGCCTCTCGCTTACCCGACCCACCTCATCAGAGGCTTTTTTTTTTAACTTTTAAAAGCATTTTTTCTACAACCTCTTCAGCCGAAGAGGTTGTAGGGAAAAAAATACCTTTAAAAGCCTCTGGCCATCCCAGCTGAGTTGCCTGATCATCAGAGGCTTTTAAAAGCATTTTTTTCTGTAACTTCTTAAGGTTGTAGAAAAAATGCTTTTAAAAGTTAAAAAAAAAAAAAGTTGGCCACGCCTACCCAGTCACATTACCCACCCACCCACCAAGCCATGCCGACAAAATAAGCCACGCCCACAGAACCGGTAGTAAAAATCTTTAGAACCCACTCCTGGACCTCCCCGAAAATAAGGCCAAGCGTTTATTTCAGGGTTCAAAAAAATGCTAAGACAGGGAGTCTTATTTTCGGGGAAACACAGTAACTTAACAACTGCAATGATTCCCTTCGCGACTAAAATGGGGCGAAACTCGCTTAACAAAGGTCCCGGTTATCAACATGGACCTTGGACTCCATTGTGGTCGTAAATCGAGGACTACCTGCATTCTGGGAAAATAAAATGGCCGCTCACAAATCTCTCCAGCATCCCCAGTGAAGACGATGCGGTATTCCTTTCCTTTTCCTGAGTTGTTTCTAGACAATTTTGATTTGGGAGGGGAGGTTGGGGGGGGATTAATTTTTTTTTGCCTACTTCCCAGCCTGGCTTCACCTGCAAGAGTTTTTCTGCCACTGGTCGTTTTCTTGGATTTTTGGTCAAGGAGAGTTTGAGGAACTGGTGAAAATCAGGAGACCTGGAAGGATAAAACAGGAGCGCCAATGAAGAGAAAAATTCCTAGTGCCCCAGGAGAACAATTGTGTCTCTTACACACCCATACACACTCACCAACACGCCTTATCTTTTAGCTTGGGGGGCTGGAAGTTGCTCTTGGACATCAACATCAGAGCCCTACATGGCGAAACAAAACAGAGTTAGAATTACTTTATTTTTCTCCTTTGTTTTAAAGCAGGGGTGTTCATATTTGGCAATTTTGTGGACTTCAACTTCCAGAATTCAATTCAACTCTATAGCTGGCTGGGGAATTCTGGGAGTTGAAGTCCATAACTCTTAAGGTTGCCAAGTTTGGCTGGCTGAGGAATTCTGGGAGTTGAAGTCCACAAGTCTTAAACTTCCCAAGTTTGGAGACCCCTGCTTTAAAGAAACGGGAACCCCGATCCCTTCTCTACAGAAATTATTCTCTCCCATTGGCTGATTCGTGGTGATGTCACGGAATGCTCAAACATTCCACCGAAATGAAAGGATCATTCACAAAAATGCTCCATCGCTTAGTTCTCCTTTGCTTGTTCAAACCACCTATTACAGGGAGTCCTTATGACCACAATTGAGCCCCAAATTTCCATTGCAAAGCGAGACAGTCATGTAACTTTTGTCCCGTTTTCTACTTTTCTCGCCACCGTTGTTAAATGAATCCCTGCAGGCGTTAAGTTAGCAACGCGGTTTGTTAAGGGAATCTGGCTTCCCCATTGAGTTTGCTTGCCAGGTCGTAAAAGGGGATCACCGTCATAAATATGAACCAGCTGCCGTCCAAATTTTGATCACATGCCCATGGGGATGCTACAATGATTGCAAGTTTGAAAAATGGTAATAAGTCGCTTGTAACTTTCAATCGTCACTAAATGAATGATTGTAAATCGAGGACGACCTGTATTGAACAGTGGCTGAGGCTGATGGGAGCTGGAATCCCAACCCTCGGGAAGGTGTCACATGGCCAGGATCTTTTTGCAGACAAATTTGGAGCTTTGGTGATTCTTAACCAGGAAGCGGCTATGAAGGACGGTCAAATATTATACAGACACACACGTCAAGATGTTGTGTAGCTGGTTTTTCTAGAAAGTCCAACCAGTGGCATTTTTTCCCCCCCTGCTATTGTGGGTGGATTTAATCCAGCCTCTCCCAAGGACCCAAAATTGACATGTTGATGTTTCGGTGATGGGAGCAAAAATGTGGGTTTTGCACCCGTCGGCAAAGCGAACCCCCCCAAAATTCTAGGATTTTCGAAACTGTTGCAATATTTTCAGGATCAGACTCAATAAGATCAACAAGAGTTAAAGATTTAACTATATATTCTTTATTTACATTAGGCATTCTATATTCACTGAATATTCACAGATAGAAGCGAGGGAAATGGTGTAGGTAGCTCCTTATATATACAATGGGTGGAGCTATATGTGGGAGTGGTGAATTGTGAATACATTAAGAAGTGAAGAATAAGTTAACCCCTGATACCCTGTCTGTACACTATTTACACATTGGAGAATAAGGCATTTACATCTGACAAATCCCCCTCTAAATGCCGATTCGTTATACAACACCAGTTACATTCAGATTCAGGACAATACAAAACATACAACTTAGAGGTTAAGTATTTATGCTGTTTAGAAGGTAAAGGCTTCGTTAATATATCAGCTAATTGTTCTGAAGTGTCGCAATGCACTGCTTTAATAAATCCATCCTGAGATAATTGTCTCACATGTTTAAATTTTATATCTATATGTCTGGACCTTTGTCCAATGGCATCAGATCTAGATATTTCAATGGCTGCTTTATTGTCTTCATGCATAACAAAAGGCAGAGCAGGTTTTTTCCAGACATCTGAAATTAAATCATTAAACCATACAAGATTATTTGCGGCCTTGGATAAACAAACATATTCCGCTTCTGTTGTTGAAGTAGCCACTAGTTCTTGTTTACCAGTGTACCAGTAAACTGGACAGTCATTTAAGAGAAATACATAACCAGATGTGCTTTTTCTGCATGAGGTGTCTCCAGCCCAATCTGCATCTGCATAACACGTAAGCTTTGGTTCTTTAATATCATTAGGTTCTAACATTAAACAAAAGTCTAGTGTACTTTTTAAATATCTTAAAATTCTTTTAACAGCTTCCCAGTGGTACATTGTTGGTTTGCTGACATGCCTAGATAATAAATTGAGTGGTAAAGCGATGTCCGGTCTAGTCCAATTAGATATGTAAAGGAGTGAACCTATGATTGATCTATAGAATGTATTGTCCTTGAACTCGGGAGAAGATTCATCAGAATTCCTTAGAAAGTCAGTTTGCATAGGGGTATCACAAGGTTTGGCATTGTTTAAGTTGCATTTATTTAAAAGATCTATGATCTTATCTCTCTGGGTAAGTTTGAATCCCCTTTTTGTCTTATTAATTTGGACACCAAGGTATTTGTTTACCTTGCCTAAAGATTTCAATGAGAAATGTTCATTTAGTTTAGTTACAAAAGTTTCTCTTCTTTCTTTATGTTTTCCTATGTATAAAATGTCATCCACATAAATCAATACAAATTCAATGTAATCATCACCCCTCTTGACAAAGAAACAATTATCAGCAGTGGTAGCGTTGAAGTCCATGGTCTTAAGTACTTTTACTAAACAATCATACCACCGTTTACCAGATTGTTTTAGCCCGTATAAACTCTTGTTTAACAACCAAGTCTCATTTTTGTTTGTGTATGGACTATGAGGTGCTCTCACGTATATTTCTTTATCTAATTTTGCGTGTAGGTACGCAGTCTGTATGTCATATTGGAATACATCTAGATTGAGTGCTGAAGCTACCACTAGAGCTGTTTTGACACTCTCTGTTCTTACAGTGGGGGAATACGTGTCAGTATAGTCCTCTGGATATTTCTGTGCATAACCCTGTGCAACCAATCTAGCTTTGTATAGAGTATTTCCTCCCTCTAAATTCTTAATTTTATATATCCATCTGGTACCAATAATTGTCTTATCTTTAGGTGCAGATGCAGGTGTAAATACATTTAGTCCTTGTAAACTTTCCATCTCTTTCTTCATTGCTAATTCCCATTTTTCTTTTTCTTCGTGAGGAAGTTTTAACACTTCCTCGTATGTATTGGGTGTTGTTGGTTCACCATTCATGTGCATTACATAATCCTTGTATTTATTTGGCATTTGATTTCTGGTGTTTCTAATGATTTTCTCGGGTTTACTATCGTTATCATGCAAATATCTTGCTTCCTTTTTTGTTAGTGTGTCTGTCTTTATTTTGAGTTGGCTATTTGTCCAAGTTTTAGTTTTGTTTCTATATTTGTTGATATTTTGTTTTTCTATAGTCCCTTTCTCATGAGATTTTGTATCTTCATGTTTATTTGGGAATATCTCATTAAGATGTAATTTAGACCAGTTAGCTTGTTCATGGAACACAGCTGTTCTGGAGACTATAAATTTGTTGTTACTATCAATGAATCTGTATCCTTTAGTGCCAGTCTCATATCCCATAAATCTGAGTCTCCTGGACACATTTTCTCCCTTTCTTCTTAATTGTTTAGGTATGTGTACGTCTGCTGTGACTCCAAATATATGCATGTGTGCTAATTTTGGTTTTCTATTATACATCACTTCATATGGTGTCTTATTTATAATGCTGGACCATGTTCTATTTTGTGTGTAATTTGAATAATGTAAGGCTTCTGACCAGAATTGTTTGCTTAAGCCAGCATCTTCCAATGTGCATCTAATCATGGTTTGTAATGTGGAATTTTTTTCTCTCTGCAATCCCGTTTTGGAACGGAGAAAATGGACTAGATGTGTAATGTAACATTCCTTTGTCTTTTAACCATTGTGAGAATTCTTTAGACATGAATTCGCATCCTCTGTCTGTCATAATTTGTTTTATTTTGATGTTGTGTTGTGTTTCTATGCGTTTGTAAAATTCTTTAAATTTTTGAAATGTTTCATCTTTGTGTTTTAATGTGTAAACAAATCCATAGCGGCTATAATCGTCCACTATTGTCAGGAAGTAACGTTTCCTATAAGTGATTGATGGGGTTAATGGACCAACTAAGTCCATGTGTACTAAATCAAAAATTTTGTTAGTTGATCTGGTAGATTTTTTTGGCCTGGGACTAGTTTTTAGTTTTGTAGATTTACATACTGAGCATTCCAGATAATTTTCACAATTTTTTATTTTGACACCTTCTGCGTGTTCAGTCATTTTTTGCACTACAGGAAAACTGGCATGTCCTAACTTCCTATGCAATATGTGAGCACACTCATCATGAATTGGTTTGCCTATCTTTGGCTTCTTATCGTTGTGTGCATCTGTGTGATCATGAGATATTTTACATTCATCATTGTCACTGTTGCTAATATTCTCATCATCTATCTCAATACAATCTTCCATATTTGAATCAATGTTATGTAACCATTTTTCTTTTGTTATTAGGTAAGGTAGTCCTCCTTTAGTCACCACAGTGCCTACATTTATTTTATTCTTTTCCAAAGTTGCCTTTCCTTTTGAAAAGACAATGTTAATGTCAGAATCTCTGCTTAGTTTTATGGCACTTAATATGTTATGAGGTATTTCAGGTATTAGTAATACCCCCTCTATTTTTCCTAAACCAGGTAAGGTTACATTTCCTCTACCTAATACTTGAACCTTTTCTTGGTTAGCTACCTTAATTACAAATTTATCTTCTGCAAATGAAGACAATATACTTTTGTTATTAGTGGTGTGATTAGTTGCTCCAGAATCAATAAGCCAATTATTGTTCTCACTTTGTTGTGTGTTAGTGTTGTCTTGTTTATTTAATCCATTCAGTGAACCAGACTTTCTATCCTTTGAATTGTCTCTGCCCCCTCTATTCTCTCTGTGATTTGGTGGGCTCCTATATCTATGCCTTTCTATGGAAGGCTGTCTATAATCGTATTTGTTTCTGTATTCTGATCTATATCTTTCTTTTAAGAATTTTGGGCAATCTCTTCTATTGAGAGCGTTGGTGCTTGCTTCGGTCTGCGGCGTAGGGCGGTATCGGCAGGGCTCTCTGGGTTCCGGCGTCAGCGTTCTAGTAGTCAGGATGGGAGCGGGCAGGTCTTGAGGCATTGGCTTGCTCGTTCGCTTTTTTGGTGTCTTTTTAGTAATTTTCAGTTTTGGCCCAAATGCAGCAAAGAGCGTTTTCATCGCTGATTTTATTTGGTGTTTTGTTGGATCTTCCTCGCTTTCTGGTTCTGATTCTTCTGAGGTGTTTGAATCTTCCTTTTTGTTTTCGTTGTCTGATAATATTTTTCGCGCCAGAAATTTTGAATTGAGCTTGCTGATTGGCTCTGCTTCGTTCATCTTGGAGGCCGGTTGAAACCAAGATGGCCGCCATTCAAATTTTTGCGCGGGATCATCGTTTTTCTTCTTTGTAATGATTTTCTCCGCAGTCATATTACTCACTATTTTTGGATCTTTGGGTTTTTCATTGGTGATGTTTTTCTCTCTCGCTGCTCCGCTGTTCTTCAGCATATCTTGGAGGTTCGCGATGAGGCTTTCATCATTCTTCTGACTTTTTAATAGTTTTAATATCTCTGACCTGAGTTCGTTATTTCCTATTTCGGTTTCCTCCTGGTCATCAATTATTTCTTCGTCTTCAGTGGTGTATTCTTCGGATTCTCTCGAAATTGCATTGGTGGATTCGTTGATTATTTCTTGTTCCGTTTCCATTTCTTTGCTGTAGGCCCTGGTGTTGGGCCTATCTTTCTTAGACATCTTAAAGCTTTTTTATTGAGTCAATTAACCATCCTCTGCTACCAGTTTGTTGCAATATTTTCAGGATCAGACTCAATAAGATCAACAAGAGTTAAAGATTTAACTATATATTCTTTATTTACATTAGGCATTCTATATTCACTGAATATTCACAGATAGAAGCGAGGGAAATGGTGTAGGTAGCTCCTTATATATACAATGGGTGGAGCTATATGTGGGAGTGGTGAATTATGAATACATTAAGAAGTGAAGAATAAGTTAACCCCTGATACCCTGTCTGTACACTATTTACACATTGGAGAATAAGGCATTTACATCTGACAGAAACTGTAATTAGGAATTCAGAAATACACGCCTACCGAGGCAGCTTGTTTTAAAGTTGTTGTTTTTATAAACCGGAGGGACTGAAAAGGTAGTTGCTTGCGTTAAAGATAAGAAGGGAAATCAGGGCTGTGGCCCATTTTAATCAGGAAGTAAGGAATTTAAATCAGGAAGCTAAGACCAAACAACTCACAAAGCTATGTTTCGTGAGACCCCAGATAAAACGTATTTATAACTTTTTCAATTCTGTTTTTTAATTGTGAGATCACGTATTTTTAAATGGGTGGCCGTATTATTTTAATAAAAAAAGAAATAATACAGAAATCAAAGGGGAAATAAAAATGAAGCGATACACCCAAGAGGCATCCTCGATTTTCCACTGTTTTTCCCCCACCTAAGGATCCTGAAATAAGATATTATAATTCAATGTTTCCTAGCCTACTAACTTTCCGATATGTAGACTTCAACTCCCAGAATTCCCTAGCCAACATGCTGCCTTTACCCAACTTTAAGCATGCCAGCTAGGGACTGCTGGGACTTGTAGTCTATACATCTTAAAGCATGCTGGCTGGGGAATGATGGGTGTTGTAGTCCACCCATTTTAAAGCATGCTGGCTGGGGAATTCTGGGACTTGTAGTCTATATATCTTAAAGCATGCTGGCTGGTGAATTCTGGGAGTTGAAGTCCACCCATCTTAAACCACGCTGGCTAGGGAATGCTGGGACTTGTAGTTCACATACCTTAAAGCATGCTGGCTAGGGAATGTTGGGTGTTGTAGTCTACCCATCTTAAAGGATGCTGGCTGGGGAATTCTGGAAGTTGAACTCTATCCATCTTAAAGCATGCTGGCTGGGGAATTCTGGGACTTGTAGTCCACCCATCTTAAAGCATGCCGGCTGGGGGATTCTGGGAGTGGAAGTCCACCCATCTTAAAGCATGCTGGCTGGGGGATTCTGGGAGTGGAAGTCCACCCATTTTAAAGCATGCTGGATGGGGGATTCTGAGAATGGAAGTCCACCCATCTTAAAGCAAGCTGGCTGGGGGATTCTGGGAATGGAAGTCCACCCATCTTAAAGCATGCTGGCAGGGGGATTCTGGGAGTGGAAGTCCACCCATCTTAAAGCATGCTGGCTGGGGGATTCTGGGACTTGTAGTCCACATATCTGAAAGTTATTAAGCTTGAAAATCACTGTTCTAAATCCACGCTAGACTCTACATCCAGCTCAGTCTCCCTCGCTTTCTGCAAGCTTTCTCTCATCCAGCTTCCTTACCTCATGGGGTGCAGGTCAAAGAGTGGGGGCTGCAGCTCTGCCAGTTCAATAGCGGTGATACCCAGGGCCCAGATGTCGCACAGGTGGTTGTAGCCGCCTTTCTTCTCCACCGCGGCCACCTCTGGTGCCATCCTGGAGAATCAGACAAAATGCAAGGTTAAGACAAGGAAGGGGCTCCAAGCACACTCACTATCGGTTATGATAAATCAACAAAGGCAACAACTTCTAAGAGCTGGATTTCAGGCAATGTGTTGTAGCTTTGCAGCGAAGAAGCCTAATCAATAAAACCAGCAACGGAGTTTGAAGGCGAACAAATAATTTTTATCCCCCCCTCAACCGCTGTGGCCCAAATTTTCTTCGCTCCCTTCGCAAACGCAAATTTTCAACCATCTCCCTTTTTTCCTTTTGTCACTCGTTTTCCTTTTTAACCGAAGACTCCATTCTGGATGAATGAATTAAATTCATTCATGTTTCATGGTTCCGCCTTGTATGGTTGAATTTTCGCGGGAAGGTTTTGCAGGACCACCAAGTTTAAGACTCGCTCGTTCTTCCGCAGGACTCAGACAGCGTCGACCTCGCCACGGCGGCTGCGGGAGGCAGATTGTAAAGTAGCGGAGCAAACACACGGGTTTTACCAATAGGGCGTTCCGATGAACGATTTTCGCTTGGCCACCGAAGCGGTCAGTTCTGCCGAGACCCCGAAGTCCGCTGGGGAGGAAAGAGAAAAGGAGGAAAAATATCAGAGAGGGCTTCAACTGGGCCAGCTGGAATGGCTGGTGTAGGTATACAAAGGATGGGAATTGTAGTCCAATTTCAATGTCTAGTCCAGTCTAATTTTATTTTTATTCTAATTCTATTCTACTCTAATTCAATTCTATTCTAATTCTATTCTATTCTAATTCTATTTTTATTTTAGTTCTGTTTTTATTCTAATTCTATTCTATTCTAATTCTATTTTTATTTTTATTCTACTTTAATTCTAATTCTAATTCCATTCTAATTCTATTTTTATTCTATTTCTACTTTTATTCTAATTCTACTTTTATTCTAATTCTATTTTTATTCTAATTCTATTCTATTCTAATTCTATTTTTATTCTAATTCTGTTTTTATTCTAATTCTATTCTATTCTAATTCTATTGTATTCTAATTCTAATTCTACTTTTATTCTAATTCTACTTTTATTCTAATTCTACTTTTATTTTTATTCTATTTTTATTCTAATTCTAATTCCATTCTAATTCTATTTTTATTCTAATTCTACTTTTATTCTAATTCTGTTTTTATTCTAATTCTATTCTATTCTAATTCTAATATATTTTTTTTGCTTTAATTTATATGCTGCCCTTCTCAGGAGACTCAGGGCAGCTTACAATGCGTTAAGCAATAGCCTTCATACTTTTGTATATTTATACAAAGTCAGCTTATTGCCCCCACAATCTGGGTCCTCATTTCACCTACCTTTGAAAGGATGGAAGGCTGAGTCAACCTTGAGCCTGGTGAGATTTGAACTTGCAGTAATTGCAAGCAGCAGATGTTAATCTGTTAATAACAGTGCTTTAGTCCACTGTACTACAGGCTCTTAATTCTACTTTTATTCTAATTCTACTTTTATTCTACTTTTATTTTTATTCTATTGTATTCTAATTCTAATTTTATTCTATTTCTACTCTATTCTAATTCTACTTTTATTCTAATTCTAATTCTATTTTTATTCTATTCTATTCTATTCTATTTCTATTTCTATTTCTATTTTTAGAATAGAATTAGAGAGCAATCAGAGAGCAATGGGGGCAGGAGCCAGAGGATGAAGAAATAAATGATCGTATCATCATCACCGTCATCAATGTGAACCCTGAAGTGGACTTCAGCACAGAAGTCTCCGTTGGAGGGTAAGATGTGTCAAAAAAATTCAAGATGGTGGCCATGGTCATGTAGCGGAAGCCCCGCCCTCTTTTAACGAATAATCCATACTAAAAGGAGGGGCGGGGTTTCCACTGCAAGGCCCCATCTTGAGGTTTTTGACCTGCTCTGCAAGACAAACCGAGATGCTGAACAGGAAGGGAAACTGGGAAGAGGAACTGACCCAATTTGACGTCGCCGTTGGTCGTCAGCAGGATGTTGGCCCCCTGAGAGAGAGAGAGAGAGAGAAAGAGGTTCAGAAGATCTGGTGGCCGTTTGGGGGGAACACTCTGCCCTCCCACTTGGAGCTCCCGAACTGACAAAAATTAATCTGTTTCACCTTAATGTCTCGGTGCATTTTCCCTTTGGTGTGTAAGTGGTGAAGTCCCTAAAAGGGAAACAGATAAAAGTCAACAATTCTGATAGCTTGCCAGAGAGAGAGAGAGAGACTGAGATTCAACTAGGTTTGCAAGATGGATTAACCCATGGTTTATTGAATGAACCCTGATTCGTTAAGGACACTGTTTCTCAACCTTTCCCACTTTAAGATGGATGGACTTCAACTCCCAGAATTCCAAGCCAACATGGGAGTTGAAGTCCACTTGTCTTAAAGTAAGCTGGCTGGGGAATTATGGGAGTTGAAGTCCACCCATCTTAAAGCAAGCTGGCTGGGGAATTCTGGGAGTAGAAGTCCACCCTTCTTAAAGCAAGCTGGCTGGGGAATTCTGGGAGTAGAAGTCCACCCATCTTAAAGCAAGCTGGCTGGGGGATTCTGGGAGTTGAAGTCCACCCATCTTAAAGCAAGCTGGCTGGGGGATTCTGGGAGTTGAAGTCCACCCATCTTAAAGCAAGCTGGCTGGGGGATTCTGGGAGTAGAAGTCCACCCATTCTAAGTTTGTCAAGGTTGAAAAACACTGCCCTATATTTTGCTTTTATAGTCATCTGCATTGCAGCCACACAATCTATGTTATGTCGTGTTTCATTTATTGCAGCTCGAAAGAAAATAAACTTGCTGAGGTGGAAAAATGAGAAGAGAACAATCCTAAGGAGAAATCAAAATAATTTAGAAGCCCAGAGCAATTCAATAGGAAAGATTTAGGTCAGAGGAATGAGGAAAAAAAGGAGAGATAACAGGTAGGATTATTTATGGCATGGAGAAACAGATATATAATGTATATATCTCTATATATCTTTATTATAATACAAATAAATCTACTGTAAGATTCAAACGAAATAAAACATTTCTACATCTAGTCCTCAACTTACAACCACGACTGAGCCCAAAATGTCTGTTGCTAAGTGAGATAGTTGGTCATAAATTTGAGGACCAGACAAGTCCCTTTTTTCAGTGCCATCGCAACTTCAGTCAACACTAAACAAATGGTTGTAAGACAGGGACTATTTGTATCACGTTTCTCCCCATTTATATTTTCTTCCAAACCAGAAATCTTTTAAGCTTGGTAAGTTTAACACTTGTAGACTTCAACTCCCAGAATTCCCCAGCCAGCCATGCATGGCTGGCTGGGGGGAATTCTGGGAGTTGAAGTCCACAAGCCTAAAACATGCCAAATTTGGAGACGGCAGTTCAGCTTCTTGCAGGCTCCAACACACATGCACAACTGCCTGAATGCACAAACACCCCACACAGCCAACAATATTTCATATTTCAGCCCTGTCCTTGTAGCTGTCTCCGCTACAGGAAGGCAGGAAAGGAACAGGATGCACAATGGATCAACACAACTTCCTTTCCAAGGCGCACATCGCTGAGCTCCAATTGCTATTTGACAATTCTCAAAAAGAGAAACCCAACAGCTCGTCGCTCGTTTTGTGTCAAGGCATGAAAACATCCTCTTAAAAACTCAACGGAACACATAGCTGGGCTCAAGAAGCTGGGACTGGCAGAAATGTACAATAGAGAATTGAGATATTTGATTGTGAATGTTTTAACAGCGGCCAGAATTGTGTTTGCGAAAAATTGGAAAAATGAGAAAATACCAATGCAGGATGAAGTTATTAAGAAAATGATGGAATGTGCTGAAATGAGTAAATTGACATTAGAAATTAGAGAACAAGAAGATAAACATTTTTAAAATGTTATCTAATTTTAGGTTCTATTTAATTGGGTCAAACTATGTTATAATAATAATTTTAATTAGCAATTTTATGATGTTTGTGTATCTATATTTTTCTTGACTGTACACCGCCTTGAGTCCTACGGGAGAAAGGCGGTATAGAAATATAATAAATAAATAATAATAAATAAATAAATAAACAATGCTATAAGATATGGGATTTATTTTATCAATGGCTAGACAAGAAAGCATGGAAATGAAATATGAAACATGAAATGATGTTATAAATATAATATTTGAAAATAATTTTTATGAAGCGGTGAAGCCATAGTTAAATAAATGATAAATGAGGACGTTTATTAGCTTGACAATATGAGAAACTAAATAACTAGTAAATTCTGATTATGGAGATGAAGCACAAAAGATTTGTAACTGACCGACACACTGTTTGAAATTGTAATGGAAGATGGATTTATGTTTTATGTTTTGTTTAAAAAAGATTTTTTTTTCAAAAAAAAAAAGAAAGAAAAAGAAAAAGAAGCTGGGACTGGATAGGAAAAGGATGGGAGACCACCAGGAAAACACCTTGTAATTATAATTATAATATAACGATGGGTAGTTCTTGACCAGGAGTGGGATTCGAATAATTTAACAACCGGTTCTCTGCCCTAATGAAGGGCTGGGTGGGCGTGGCCATGGTGGGTGTGGCCAGGGGGCATGACAGACAGCACTCCCCCCCCCGGCCCCCTGTTTTGGGCCTAATAGGCCTCCCTGCACTTACCTGGGAGCCAAAATGGGGCACGTGGGAAGAGCAGGGCAGAGCGAACCATCAATTTAATTACCGGTTCTCCTAAACCGGCTGAATCCCAGCACAGTTCTCGACTTACGATCATAATGGAGCCCTAAACTTCTGTTGCTAAGCAAGACAGTTGTTAAATGAAGAGTGCCTTGTTTTATGGCCTGGCTTGCCGTTACTTGTAAAGTGAATCACTGCAGTTGTTCAGTTAGCCACACGGTTGTTAAGTGAATCTGGCTTCCCCAATGAAATCTACTTGTGAAAAGGTCACATGACCCCAAGGACACCGCAATCGTCATAAATATGAATCGGTTGCCGAACGTCCGGATTTTGATCATGTGACTGTGAGGTGTTCTGCCCCAGCTACGGACCACAACATGGGGAGGGGGCAACGGTCATAAGTGTAGAAACGGGACCTAAGTCACTTTTTTCAGTGGTGGTGTAACTTCAATCACTAAACGAACGGTCGTAAGGTGAGGACTACCTGTCCTGAAACTCAATATTGTTTGCTTTTCCTGTCAGCGAAAATGGAACCCACCTACACACTCACCTGGAGGGTTTCTCTGCAGACATAGGCAATCTGTTTTTCGGACAGAGGCCCAGTACCTGAAAAAAAAAGAGAAAACGGAATTATTTTAGAACATAGAACTTATAATAACAGAGTTGGATGGGATCTTGGAGGTCTTCTAGTCCAACCCCCTGCTTGAGCAGGAAAGCCTATAACCTATGGCAAGAAGGAGCCATATCGGTGGGCACGTGAGGATTGCCCTAGCTCAGCAAACGGGCCATTTGCGGCCTCCAGACGGCCTCTGGGGGGGGGAAAGGCCGTTTTCGTCCTCCTCAGCTCCTAGAAAGGCTCTGGAGCCTGGGAGAGCGAAAAACAGGCCTACCAGGCCCACCGTGCCATCACGTGCCAAAAGCGCGGGGAGCGCGTGGGGGTCACACACGCATGCGTGGGGGGGCGGGGCACATTGAATTATGGGTTGTGGGCACACACGTGCATGACCCATAACTGGCACGCTTTTGGCACGCGATGGCAAAAAGGTTAGCCATCCCTGGCCTATACCATTTCAGACAAATGGTTCTCCCGTCTCTTTTTGAAAGCCTCCAGTGATGGAGCACCGACAACTTCTGGTGGCAAGCAGTTCCACTGGTTAATCCTTCTCGCTGTCAGGAAGTTACTCCTTAATTCTAGGTTGCTTCTCTCCTTGATTAGTTTCTATCTGCTGTTTCTTGTCTTGCCTTTTGGTGTTTTGGAAAATAAATTTAACCCCCTCGTCTTTCTAGGAGCCCCTCAAATATTTCAAGACTGCCCCTAGTCCTTCTGTTCATTAAACTAGACATACCCAATTCCTGCAAATGTTCTTTATATGTTTTAGTCTCCAGCTCCCTTAATTGTTTTAGTTGCTCTTCTCTGCACTCTTTCCAGAGTCCCAACATCTTTTTTTATATGGGGTTGAGCAAAACTGGATGCAATATTAAGGCTTTGTAAAGCGGTTACCAACACTTCACATGATCTTGATTTTATCCCTTTATTCATAACTGTTAATCTTGAGTTTCAGCATCTACTGGCCATTCACCACCCCAAAATCCTGCAGAAGTTGAATCCGCCCAAAAAAAAAAAAGCAAATTTCCATCATTCCATTATTTTGGGATTAAACGGCACATGACAAAGTACTGTTCAGTTTTTCCAGAGCATTTTCCCAAACTTCCCCCCATGGAAACAAAGGGGGCATTAATTCATGGAGGGAGGCCCCATATTAATCATCTTTCATCCACTCTAATCCCTTAATTCAGAGCAGCAAAACTGGCACTTTGGGTTTAAATTCTGCATGGGGGCGACGCCACGCTGTTTCTACTCCTCTCCGTCACTGCAGCCATCACTTCCTTTTCTAACTTTGTCCCCCATTGCGAATTTTCACCCCTCCTGGCCCACAAGGCACCAAGAACAAAAAAAAAGGAAGTAAAATTTTTCCAAAAGAGAAGTAGACAAGGCTGGATCATTGACAGGTTTATTTCTGTGAGCTGCAGGTGGGGGAAGGGAAAAATAGATGGCCAAGCCAAATGATTTAATCTCCTATTTGCAATTTCTCTATTTTCTTTCCGTTGTGCCCAATTCTCGGCGACTGCCTGGACAGACCACACCTATACCCTGTTTTCCCCAAAATCCCCTGATAAGAAGCCTGATTGGACTTTTGAGCGCATGGCAATAAGGCCAAGCTCTTATTTCAGGGTTCAAAAAAATATAAGATGGGGTCTTATTTTCGGGGGAACTAAATAGATAGATAGATAGATAGATAGATAGATATAGATGAGAAGATAGATAGATAGATAGATAGATAGATAGATAGATAGATAGATAGAGATGATAGCTAGATATAGAGAGATATAAATAGATATAGATGAGGGAGAGATAATAGATAAATAGATATAGATAGATATAGATGAGAGAGAAATGATATAGATAGATAGATATAGATAGATAAATAGATAGATAGATAGATATAGATGATATATAGATACAGATGAGAGAGAGATAATAGATAAATAGATATAGATAGATATAGATAGGTAGGTAGGTAGGTAGGTAGGTAGATAGATAGATAGATAGATAGATAGATAGATAGATACCCTGTTTCCCCCAAAATAAGACATTCCCCTGATAATAAGCCCAATTGGGCTTTTGAGCGCATGGCAATAAGGCCAAGCGCCTATTTCAGGCTCCAAAAAAATATAAGACAGGGTCTTATTTTCAGGGAAACATGGTAGAATCCTGCATCCAGTTTTGGTCCCCACGTTTACAAAAAAGATCTTGAGACTTTGGAAAAAGTGCAAAGAAGAGCAACTAAGACGATTAAAGGCCTGGAGACTAAAATTTACGAAGAATGGTTGCAGGAATTGGATATGTCCAGTTTAATGAAAAGAAGGACGAGGGGCGACGTGACAGCAGTCTTCCAGTATTTGAGGGGCTGCCCCAAAGAAGAGGAAGGGGTCAACTTATTCTCCAAAGCACCAGAGGGCAGGACAAGAAACAATGGATGGAAACTAATCAAAGAGAGAAGCAACCTAGAACTAAGGAGAAACTTCCTAACAGTGAGAACAATTAATCAGTGGAACAGCTTGCCACCAGAAGTTGTGGGTGCTTCATCACTGGAGGTTTTTAAGAAGAGACCAGACAGTCACTTGTCTGAAATGGACTCTAGGGTCTCCTGCTTGAGCAAGGGGCTGGACTAGAAGACCTCCGAGGTCCCTTCCACCTCTATTCTGATTCTGATTTTGAAAAAGTCCCTGCAGTTTCCTTGGCAAGTTTTTTTTTCAGAAGTTGGCTTGCCATTGCCTCCTTCCTAGGGCTGAGAGAGAATGAGTGGCCCAAAGGCACCCAGCTGACTTTCATTCCAAGGTGCTTTTTCAAAAGGCAACTGGATTTTGTTTTGTTTTTTCTTGAAGACATTTTGCTTTTCCCCCAAGAAGCTTCCAAGAACCCACCGATTTTCCAGGAGTGAATTCTTGGCCTTCCATTAAAGAGGAGTTCTGGATGCAAGTTAGTTGTTGGCATGATCCTCTCTACCACACTGAACATGTTAGAGCTCCAGCCTGCCCGGAGGCTGTGGATGATGGGAACTGTAGCCCCACCTTTCCAAAAGAACAGCTGGCTAAAAGGAATATGGTCCCCCCTCAAGGCAAGGTGGCGATTTACCCAGAGATAAAAGTTAGGAACACCTGTATGCAAAAGTTGTTTTACCCACAAGCTCGAATTCTTCTGCTAAAAAAAATAATAATAATTAAAAAGTAATATTTGAAATATTTGAGGTTCTCTGCTCTTACAGCAAAACCATTCTGGAATAGTATCTGAATACATCTTTTTTTTTTTTTTGGTAAAGTTTTTAAGGTTTGACTCTGGTGTGGAAAAACATTCTTGAATCAACAGTCCAAGCAGCTGAAAGCACATCTGCGCCCCTAATAGAACTGATTTATTCAGTCATGAGGACTAGAATCTTGCTTAGCTTCACTGGTGTTCTGGAATTCAGGGGAGGCAACTGTTCAAGCAGGGAGCAGTCAGGGTTTTATTTCGCTCCGTCCCTTTCCTTAGCCAGATGCTTTCTGAAAAAGTGGGGCTAACAGCTCCCATCGTCCACAGCTTTTCCAGGTACTGGTAGGGAAACGGCAGAGCGCAGACTTAATACAGGTAGCTCTCAACTTATAATAGTTCACTTAGTGACCATTCAAAGTTACAACAGCACTGAGAAAAATGACCTATGACCTCTTTTCACACTTACGACGGTTGCAAACGTCGTAAGTGACCCCGGGGGGGTCACGTCATCCTGTTTTGCAACCTCCAACAGGGAAAGCAGATTCGCTTAACAGCCGTGTTAACTAACTGAGCATCTGTAGTGATTCACTTAACAACTCCACTGCGGTCATTTGCTTTCGCTCGGCAAAGAAAAGTCTTAAAATGGGGGCGAAATTCCCTTAACGAATGTCTCGCTTAAAAGCAACAGAAATTCTGGCCTCAATTGTGGTCGTAAATCGAGGAGCAAGTGTATAACAATTTCAGAAAAAGCCAGCCGCATTAAAATTAACATATCAGGTTTCCTCCTGCAAATTATGCTGGAATGTAGGCTGATCCCAGGAATTTAAGCTACCAATCCCATCTTCCCCATCTCTACTATAATTTGTTAGTTACAATCCACTTAGAAATGGATCCTAAAAGAACACCAGATAATATTTTCCCTCCCTCCTCCAACAGGAAGAAACTCACTGTGATAGATCTCCTGAAGAGACCCCCCTCCACAGTATTCCATGCAAATCCACAGCCGATCATTCCTAAAATCCAGAAATAACAGGAAATGTGTAATAAGAGACCTGGATATATATATATATACATACATCATTATTTGGGAAAGCAAGCTTTGCTGGTTGGGTGAGATTGGATTCCCAAAATCAACGGCTCTCAAGCTTGGCGGCTTGAAGATGTGTGGACCAACTCCCAGAATTTCCATGCTGACTGGGTAATTCTGGGAATTGAAGTCCACCTGTTTTAAAGCAAGCTGGCTGGGGGATTCTGGGAGTGGAAGTCCACCCATCTTAAAGCTCGGGAGCTCTGAGGGGGGAAGAGGGAGTGCTGTCAGAGAGAGAGAGACAGAGGTGGAGCCTGGGCCGTCTGTCAGCTTCAGATGGAGAGTCAACAGCCCCCAGGTCTGGAGGTGGCTGATGAGGAAGAGGAGGAATAGCTGGGTCCTGGTGCCTGATCTGCAGAAGGCAGAGGAGAGGAGAGCAGTGGAAATCTATGGGCCGGTCCTTGGGAAGGAAGAGCCATTGCTGCTAGCGAAGCCCCACTCTAGCTCTGGGGATAAAAGGCAGGGGGCGGAGATGAATAGATGTGGCAGACAACTATTCCTCTCCCTGCCGGACGGATTTGTTCGCCTGCGGTGAGAGAGAAACTTTTTGCCAGAGCTCCCGGCGCTCCTAACAAAGGAATCATTGATTTACATACAGAGTGTTTGTCGTGTTTGGGGAGCTGGCTCAGAACAGGGTGCCTCTGAGCATGTAGGGAGAGGAGCTACATTTCACCGCATCTAAGATTTGGGAACTGGAAAAAGAGGATTTTTGGGTTAGAGAATGAAGAGTTGGATGGTTGAGTTCCTATCTTTTGGTGTAGAAATCAGGCAACGATTATACCATGCCCAACTTGCTATCCAATAATTTTGATAAAGCTGAGAACAAGGGACTCCGGAGGCTTAAGTTAAGTCGACCGCTTCCAAGTTCCCGTTCTGTTGTTCCGCAGGAGGAGTTTCTCTACCTGAGGTAGCTTCCAAAATACATCACAACGTTGTGGTGGCGACAATCCCTGAGGGTGGTGATTTCTTGCTGAACGGATCCGATGTCATCTCCTAAAATGGAGATCCAAGGGAGAAAATACGTCAGTCTCTGAGAGGGTCTTCCTTCAACGACGGTCTAGCCCAGTGAGGGCTAACCTTTTTCTCGTTGTGGGCTGACAGCATGTGCGCATGCCAGCACCCATAACGCAATGCGGGGGGCCCTTGCGCATGCGTGCACGCCCCCCCTGGTGAATACGCACGTGACAACCTCCCCACGGCCGGCCATTTTGGGCTTAGTAGGCCTCACTGCAGCCTCCTGGGTCCCAAAACAGACCACAGGGGTGGGGGCACCACACCTCCCCGCCACGCCCCGTTTAGGGCCTAGTACAGTGATGGCTAACCTTTTTGCCATCACGTGCCAGGAGCGGGGGGAGCACAGAGGGTGTGTGTGTTGCACGTGTGTGTGCCCACACCCATAATTCTATGCGTCCCACCCCCGCACATGCGTGCGCGACCCCCCCCCCGCTCCTGGCACATGATAGCCCAGTAGGCCCGTTTTTCTCTCTCCCCAGGCTCCAGAGTCTTTCTAGGAGTCTGGGGAGGGTGAAAATGGCCTCCCCCTCCCCAGAGGCTGGAAACGGCCGATTTGCCAACTTCCGGTGGGACTGGAAGGCCCGTTTTTTGCTGTCTCCAGGCTCCAGAGCCTTTCTAGGAGTCTGGGGAGGGTGAAAACAGCCAGCCTTTCCAGAGGCCCTCCGGAGGAACTGAGCTCGTGTGCCCATCGATATGGCTACACGTGCCACCTGTGACATGCATGCCATAGGTTCGCCATCATGGGCCTAATACACCTCCCTATAGCCTCCTGGGCCCAAAAACGGGCTGCGGGGGGGGGGGTGCACTCTGCCCTGTATGCACACGTGACCCACACTCCCCCCACGCATGCACACGCATTTCCTGCATGCGCCTCATCCCCTCCCTGGGCATCCCCATAATCAGCTGGCCGGCAGGAGGTGCACATCCATGTGCAGTGGAGCTGAGGTGGGCAACGGCTCGCGTGCCCACAGAAAGGGCTCCACGTGCCACTGTGGCACGCGTGCCATAGGTTCGCCATCACAGGTCTCGCCCCTCTTCTGTGACAGCCCCTCAAATATTGAAAAGGCTGCTATCATGTCGCCCCCCAATTCCTTCTCTTCGGTAGGCTAAATATATCACACATAAAACAGGGGTGTCAAACTTGATTTCATTGAGGGCCACATCAGGGTTGGGTTTGACCTTGAGGTGGGGCGGGGTGAGTGTGGCCAGGGTGGGCATGGCCAGCTCAATATCACTTGTGTTGGGGGGCACCTGTGGTGGTTGGAGAGCTCTGCCAGCAAAAATGGGCTCCCAAACTCCGTTTTTGGCTGCGATGGCTTCCTGCAACCCTCTGCCAGCGAAAATGGAAAATGGAGCTCAGGAGGGGCGTGCGAGCTCCGTTTTTGGCTGCGACAGCCTCATGCAACCCTCTGCCAGCAAAAATGGAGCTCAGGAGGGGCGTGCGAGCTCCGTTTTTGGCTGCGACAGCCTCCCGCAGCTCTCTGCCAGCGAAAATGGAGCTCAGGAGGGGCGTGCGAGCTCCGTTTTTGGCTGCGACAGCCTCCCGTAGCTCTCTGCCAGCGAAAATGGAGCTCAGGAGGGGCGTGCGAGCTCCGTTTTTGGCTGCGACAGCCTCCCGTAGCTCTCTGCCTGCGAAAATGGAGCTCAGGAGGGCTGCGTGAGCTCTGTTTTTGGCTGCGACAGCCTCCTGCAATGCTATGCCAGCGAAAATGGAGCTCAGGAGGGCTGCGTGAGTTCCGTTTTTGCTGCAACAGCCTCATGCAACCCTCTGCCAGCGAAAATGGAGCTCGGGAGGGCCGCCTGGGCCTTCCCGAGCTCCATTTTTGCTGGCAGAGCATCATGGGCTGGTCTGCTGTTTCCACGGTCATAGGCACCCTATAGGCCAGATCTGACCACTGGGCCTTGAGTTTGACACCCCTGACATAGAACAGTAGGGTTCTATGTCCTAGGTACCATGGAGGTCATCTAGTCCAACCCCCTGCTCAAGCAGGAAACCCTGTACCATTCCAGTCAAATGGTTGTCCAACTCTTCTTAAAAAACTCCAGTGATGGAGCACCCACAACTTCTGAAGGTGGCAAGCTGTTCCACTGGTTAATTGTTCTCCCTGTCAGGAAATTTCTCCTTAGTTCTAGGTTGCTTCTCTCCTTGATTAGTTTCCATCCATTTTTTTTTCTTGTCCTGCTCTCACCTGCAATGAAGAATTCTGGACAATTGGCTGTCTTATCTTTTCTTAAATACTTCCGGTGATGGAACGCATGTAACTTCTGGTGGCAAGCTGTTCCACTGGTCGATTGTTCCGTCAGGAAATTTCTCCTTGGTTCTGGGTTTGCTTCTCTCATCTATCTATCTATCTATCTATCTATCTATCTATCTATCATCTATCTATCAAATTTCTATACCGCCCTACTCCCGGAGGACTCAGGGCGGTGAACAGCCAAGATAAAATACAGATAATACAAACATTAAAAGTCCATTAAAGTCCTTGATTAGTTTCCATCCATTGCTTCTTCTCCTGTCTTCAGGTGGCTTGGAGAACAGGTTGACCCCCTCTTCTTTGTGGCAGCCCCTCAAATATTGGGAAATGGCTATCATGTCGCCCCTAATCCTTCTCTTTGTTAGACGAGACATACCCAGTTAGAACATGGAACGTAGAATAACCGGGATGGAAACATGAGAACAGCTCATAAGTCACTTTCTTTCAGCATCAATGTAAGTTTGAACAGTCCCTCAACAAATAGTTGTAAATCAAGGACGACCCGTATTATCTTTGCAAACTGGATGGTGACATTAACACAGAATATAGTTGGGGGGCTTAGTATTTCTCAAGTGTTAGCTGAGGAATGGTGGGAGACAAAGTCCACCCATCGTCAAGTTGGAATATTGCATTCCGTTTCAGTTACCACATTGCAAAAAAAGACGACGAGATTTTGGAAAATGTGCTGAAAACAGGAGCAAACATGAGTAGGGGCCTGGAGGTGAAAACATACCAAGAATGGTTGCAGGAACTGGGTATGGCTAGTCAGGACTAGGGCTGACATGATAGCAGTCTTCCAATATTTGAGGGGGTGCCAGAAAGAAGAGAGAGTCAAGCTATTCTCCAAAGCACCTGAAGGCAGGACAAGAAGCAACAGATGGAAACTAATCAAGGAGAGAAGCAACCTGGAATTAAGGAGAAATTTCCTGACAGTGAGAATAGTTAACCAGTGGAACAGCTTGCCACCAGACGTTGTGGGTGCTCCATCACTGGAAGTTTTTAAGAAGAGACTGGACAGTCACTTTGTCCGGAAGGTTATAAGGTCTGTTTCAGCAAGAGTTGGACTAGAGTCCTTCTGGGAGAAGGGCGATATATAAATTAAATTAATAAATTAATAAATAGAAGACCTCCAAAGGTTCCCTTCCATGCTCTATATTCTGATTCTGAGAAGCAGGCTTACCATCGAGTAGTAGCAGCTCCTCGCAGAATTTATTTCTGTGAGCCGGCCTATCTTAAAAATGGCTAAAATTCGGAGCGGTGGTACGAAGAAGTCACCGACCGTTTTGGAATATGACGTCGCCACAAATCGGCACTTACCTGGGTCGATTTTCACAATTTTAATGGCTGCCAGTTCTCCGGTTTCTGTATCTCGCCCCTGCGGAAAGAACCAGAAGTGATAAGGAAAGAAAAAAAATGGGAGGTTCAGGAAAGCATTCTCCGCATTGCTTTCTCCGTGGGAGAAGGGATTTGGCGAAATTCTTGGCTGGGAGGAATAGGGGGGTGGGGTATCCTCATTTTGCACCTCGCCTGTCCTGCTCCGGCTTTTTCACGATCCTGCCATATGCTCTTTGGCTTAAGAGACGGAGATGACCACTGCCCCATAAAGTCGGTCTCACAACTAAGTGGGGTAAAAGCCCATAGAGACAGCTTTATTTTACCTTACCATATGCTCTGCTATCATGTTCCACCCTGAGTAACACGGAAGTTATCCCAAAGAAATTGCTTCCTGTAAAAAGGATGTGGCCAGTCTCAGGTCATTCACTCACTCACTCACTCACTCACTCACTCACTCATTCATTCATTTATTCATTCATTCATTCATTCGACTGAGTTTGGGCCAAACACCAGGAGTTGGTGAGTTCTAATCACACTTTAGGCAGGAAAGCTGGCTGAATGACTTTGGGCCAATTACCAGGTGATGGAGAGTTCTAGTCCTGCATTAGGCAGGAAAATCGGCTGGGTGACTTTGGGCCAATCACCAGGAGACAGTGAGTTCTAGTCCCGCCTTAAGCATGAACACCGGCTGGGTGACTTTGGGCCAATCACCAGGAGACAGTGAGTTCTAGTCCTGCCTTAGGCATGAAAGCTGGCTGGGTGACTTTGGGCCAATCACCAGGACACTGGGAGTTCTAGTCCTGCATTAGGCAGGAAAGCCTGCTGGGTGACTTTGAGCCAATCACCAGGAGACGGTGAATTCTAGTCCCACCTTAAGCATGAACACTGGCTGAGTGACTTTGGGCCAATCACCAGGAGACAGTGAGTTCTAGTCCTGCCTTAAGCATGAACACCAGCTGGGTGACTTTGGGCCAATCACCAGAAGATGGTGAGTTCTAGTCCCGCCTTAGGCATGAAAGTTGGCTGGGTGACTTTGGGCCAATCACCAGGAGACAGTGAGTTCTAGTTCTGCCTTAGGCATGAACACCAGCTGGGTGACTTTAGGCCAATCACCAGAAGATGGTGAGTTCTAGTCCCGCCTTAGGCATGAAAGTTGGCTGGGTGACTTTGGGCCAGGCATACTCTGAGTCCAACCCACTTCACAAGGTTGTTGCTGTAGGGAAAATAGGAGGAGAAAGATATGTTGGGAATGTGCTCCTCCCTTGGTTATTTGTAATAATTGTGGGTTACAAATACATTCATTCCTCCATTCATTCCTCGCAAGAAACCATCCCATAGGATCTCAGCAATTTTACAAGAATGCAAATATGAAAACACCCTCAGTCCAGTACGATTCAGAAAAAAAATAAAATAATGCAAACTGGAAAAGTGGACATTGGATCCCATTCTGAAAAAGAGTACGTAAGAAATAACCTTGAGATACAGGAGGATCAATAAATCAAACTTTATACAACCTGTGCACTTACCACAGTTCGTTTAGTGACCGTTCAAAGTTACGACGGTACTGAGAAAAACTGACTTACGACCGTTCCTCACACTTACGACCGCTGCAGCATCCTCACGGTCACGTGCTCAAAATCCAGGCCCTTGGCAACTGATTCGCATTTATGACGGTCGGCAGCACCCCAGGGTCACGCGATTCCCCCCCTTTTGCGACCTTCCGACCAGCAAAATCAACTTGGAAGCCAGATTCAACTTAACGACCATGTTACTAGCTCGACAACTGCAGTGATTCACTTAACAACGGTGGCAAAAAAAGGCTGTGAAAACGGGCCAAAGTCACTTGACAAAATGTTTCACTTAGCAACGGACCTTTCGGGGCGCCAAACTTGAAATCCTGAAGTGGAGGACTTTCCTGTATTGTGCTTAAAAGTTTTTGAAAGTCAGATGGCCACATCAATTCTCTCCAGACACCAGGAGAGAAAGGACCTCGGCAGTTGGACACGGGGATGAAGCCTTGGGACAGGAGCCAGTCATCGGCACCCGACAAGCACATGTCTTGACGATTGTGTAGTCAAAACACATCCTTCCAAACTGTCTTGTTCCGATGGACAAAACTCACAAGAAATTCCATCCATAGAAACAAGAATTCCTATGTTCACAAAGAGGAGGAAGGGAGTCAAGCTATTTTCCGAAGCACCCGAAGGCCAGACAAGGAATAACGGATGGAAACTGATCAAGGAGAGATTCAACTTGGAAATAAGGAGGAATTTTCTTACAATGAGAGCAATCAAATGATGGAACTGAAGTTGCCTTCGGAAGTTGTAGGAACTTCATCCCTGGAAGCTTTCAAGAAGAGACTGGACTGCCATCTGTCAACAATGGTGTAGGGTCTCCTGTTTGGCGGGGGATTGGACTAGATGACCTACAAGGTCCCTCCCAACTCTGTTAATCTGTTAAAGTGAACTTTATAATGCCTTGATAAGACCCCAGTTGGAATACGGCATCCAGGTTTGGTCACACTATAAAAAAAGATTTGGAGACTCTAGAAAGAGTGCAGAGAAGAGCAACCAGGATGATAAGGGGACTGGAGGCTCAAACATACGATGGACGGTTGCAGGAACTGGGCCTGGCTAGTCTAGTGAAGAGAAGGACCAGGGGAGACAGGAGAGCATCTTCCAATATTTGAGGGGCTGCCACAGAGAGGAGGAAGCGGGTCAAGCTATTCTCCAAAGCACCCGAAGGCCAGACAAGGAATAATGGATGGAAACTGATCAAGGAGAGATTCAACCTGGAAATAAGGAGAAATGTTCTGACAGTGACAACAATCAACCCGTGGAACAGAAGCTGCCTTCGGAAGTTGTGGGAGCTTCATCATTAGAAGCTTTCAAGAAGAGACCGGACTACCATCTGTCAAAAATGGTATAGGGCCTCCTGTTTGGGCGAGGGGTTGGACTAGATGACCTACGAGGTCCCTCCCAACCCTGCTAATCTGTAAACCCCCCTCCCCAGAGCCAGGATCCTTTCCTCTTGGGATCCCTATGAAAAGGTCATCAGAAATGTCAATTTGAATATCTTTGGCACAAATAAGACACCCTAAATACAGGTAGCCCTCAACTTACAACAGTTCATTTAATCAGAACAGAGTTGGAAGGGCCCTTGGAGGTCTTCTAGTCCAGCCCCCTGCTCGAGCAGGAGACCCTGTACCATTCCAGACAAAATGTCTGACCAAACTCTTCTTCAAAACGTCCATGGATGGATGCACCCACCACTTCTGGTGGCAAGCTGTTCCACTGATTATCTGTTCTCGCTGTCAGGAAATTTCTCCTCAATTCCAGATTGCCTTTTAGGGACTGTACGACGTTGCAACAGCACTGAAAACAATGAGTTTATGACCGTGTTTCGCACTTACGGCCTTTGTAGCTTTCCCCCTGGGATCAGCATCCTCGTTCGGCCCCTTGCTATGGCAGTCGGACTGCGTTAAGCCATGATTTGTTAGAAACACCTAAGAGGCACAGATATGCCCCACTTCTTCAGATCCTGTTCTGTTTAGCAATCGGGCAACTTCCTGGCCTTCCTGGCTGAGCCAGCTCAACCGCCACAAAGGGTGTGAGGAGCACGGCCGCTTGCGAGGTTGCGAAGCACGTGTGTGATGCAACCAAAGAGGAAACCGGTGGAATGGCTCGCCTTCAGAAGTGGTGGGTGCTGCATTTTAAGAAGAGGCTGGACAGCCACTTGTCTGAAATTGGGTCAATCAATTTCCCAAAGCACCAGAAGGCAGGACAAAAAAACGATGGATGCAAACTCATCAAGGAGAGAAGCAAACTGGAATACAGGAGAAATGTCCTGACAGTGAAAACAATTAACCAGTGGAACTGCTTGCCACCAGAAGCTGTGGGTGTTGCAAAACTGGAAGTTTTCAAGAAGAGGCTGGACAGCCACTTGTCTGAAATTGGGTCAACCAATTTCCCAAAGCACCAGAAGGCAAGACAAAAAAAACAACGGATGGAAACCAAATCAAGGAGAGAAGCAAACTGGAATTCAGGAGAAATGTCCTGACAGTGAGAACAATTAACCAGTGGAACAGCTTGTCACCAGAAGTTGTGGGTACCCCATCACTGGAGGCTTTCAGGAAGAGATTGGACAACCATTTGTCTGGTTTTTAAGGTTTTTAAGACAAGACAGGACAGGCACTTGTCTGAAATTGGGTCAACCAATTTCCCAAAGCACCAGAAAGGCAGGACAAAAAAATGATGGATGGAAACCAAATCAAGGAGAGAAGCAAACTGGAATACAGGAGAGATGTCCTGACAGTGAGAACAATTAACCAGTGGAACTGCTTGCCACCAGAAGCTGTGGGTGTTGCAACACTGGAGGCTTTTAAGAAGAGGCTGGACAGCCACTTGTCTGAAATTGGGTCAACCTATTTCCCAAAGCACCAAGAAGCAACGGGTGGAGACTAATCAAGGAGAGAAGCAACCTAGAACTAAGGAGAAAATTCCTGACAAGTGAGAACAATTAACTTGCCTCCAGAAGTTGTGGGTGCTCCATTATTTGGAGAATTTTCAGAAGAGATTGGACAACTATCTTAGAATAACTTTATTGTCACATTGGACGTACACTAATCGGCATACATTAAAATTAAACTTCATTGCATACAGGTCTCAAAGGGTCACCACCTCCAATATACGCTACATAAACATGACAAAATACATACATACATACATGCAAAATTATGCATATGCCCACATATATTACATGACAAGGAGAAATAACACATCTAGTTCAGATGTATACATGTACATGGCGAGAAAGGGGACTCTTGTGACTTTACCAGACGGATGGCATAAGGAACAAAGCTGTTACAGAATCTGGTAATCCTGCTAGAAATACTTCGAAACCTCCTCCCAGAAGGGAACGACAGAAACAGAAATCTGTCTGGAATGGTGTAGGGTTAACAGATTAACAGAGTTGGAAGGGACCTCGTAGGTCATTTAGTCCAACCCCCTGCCTAAGCAGGAGACCCGACACCATTTCTGA